ATGGTATTACAGGAGCTTCCCAGGGCTGTTTTTCCTCTCTGAATTTGGTCCGTGAGAAGGAGAAGTTCCTTTTTTTAGCAGCATCTTGGCAGATGTGCCAAACATAGAAAGGACCGATCCTGGGAATGTAGAAATCCCTCCAATAATCACGTCTGCAGGGAAATGTTGATTTCTTGGGCCGGTGATTCCCAGCCTGTTGTTGGAATTAAAGGAAACAAGATCCTGGACAAGGCCCACCTATCTGGTCACTAAGGATCAATACCAACCAATACCAATACCAATAGCAATCTGGTAGCACATGATCCATCAGCTGATCGATGCAAAAACTCAATTCTCTTGAAAGGCCTATTATGCTGGATAAGGAAAAAGAAGATGACGAAAAGAAAGGTGGAGAAACTCAATTACAGCCATGATAGAAGCACCATTGGAAGTCCTGAAGGACCAAGTTGGGGACAGATCATGCTGGACAAAGTCCACCTGTGTGGAATAGAATGGAATGGAATGGAATAGAGTAATGAATAGAGTAGAGTAGAATAGGAATAGAATAGGAGAAATGAAGAACAAAGTAGAATAGAAATAGACTGGACTGGAGTGGAATGAGTAATGAATAGAGAAGAGTAGAAAAGGAATAGGAGAAATGAAGAACAGAGTAGAATAGAAATAGACTAGACTAGACTTGACTAGACTAGACTAGACTAAACTAGAATTATTGGCCAAGTGTGATCGGACACACAAGGAACTAAGAGCTCTGACTGATGGCACAAATCAATCAGTTTCATGTATTAAGTTACGTTGTTGTTTTTTCCTCCATACTCTGAATGCAGGAAGGACAGGCAGCCATTCCACAGGCGTCACAGAGGAGTATTTTTCCCCTCTTTCACAGGAGAGAATTGGTGGCTAACTTCTATTTACTCAAGCGCCTTACAAACCCTTCATTGCCTGTGGCTCACAAGTGGATGTTAGTGATGAATAGCACCTTAAAGTCTCTTTTAATTGCGCCAATCAGTTTGGGTTAGCCCACGAGGAAGGAAACTTTAATTACTGTTTATTTTTTTTTACTTCTCTTTCTGGCATTCTTTGCATTTTTTTTCCCTAGCAAAATGGTACCGTCGAAATAAAATGAAAAGTAGCACTTAAAGCTTCCACATTCATCCCAAGAATAGAAGACAACACAACTTAATTAAGAAAAACCAATGAAGTGGCCAGAAGGAAGGGATCCACTAACCCCTCCAGTCACAATCAATTGGGAGCAATCAACCTACAGTAAGAGCTTTAGCGAAGAAACCTTTAATTAAAGGAACAACAGCCCTGCATTGTATCTTCCCTACCATCACTGCAACAATAGGTATAATTGCAAACCAGGTATGGGAAACGCTAAAAGATGTAATCTTTGACTGTCACGTTATAATTATTTGGAACACTGTTAAATGCAAAAAACAACAATAACAACAATCAAGAGAATAAAGGACTTATGTGATTGTATTTTACAGCCGCTTTGAGCATATTTATTTATTGATTTAAGCAACTTACTGGTCACCCAACTCCTAACAAGTTTTGGGGTAGGGTTTACGATTAAAAAAACCCAAGAACAATACCAGAAGAGGTAAAAGGTTGAGAAACATTAACCTAGTTAGTCTCCACACTTAGGGCAGGACGAGGGGGAAGCCACGTAAGTGTGGCGACTGACTAGGTTGTTTCCCAACCTTGACAACTTGAAGAGCTGTAGACTTCAACTGCCAGCAAAGCTGGCTGGGGAATTCTGGGAGTTGAACTCTACACCTCTTCTTGAGGAACATTGAGCAAGGCCTTCATTAGCTTCCCAAATGCCATCAGGATGTGAGCCATCAAGTCACACAGATGAGTTCCTTGATGATGTAGGACTAGACTCATCTTCCTTGATTTTTGGCCATGTTGTCGGGGATGATGAAAGTTGCAATCCCAAAGTTGCTCATGGTTTGATAGAGCTTGTCCCCATTCTGCAGAAGTCCTCTTGCAGAAATGCTAACGGTCAACAGTCCTCAAGGCAGACCATCCCGTGTTCTTCCACCACCTTGCACCATTGTCCTTCTCTGGATGATGGCAGGCATGGACGAGAAAGAACCAGTAATTTTAAGATGTTATGCTTAGACAAGTGTGAAGGGGGGCAGTGGTGGGCTTGGAGAGAAAATGGGATAACACAAGGATAGCACAAGCTTTTTTTGGGGGGGATAATGGACCCAACTGAGGACGGAGGGGGAGAGAGAGATTAGATATTTGGAGCAAACATCCATCCCTGGCCTTCCTGCCATTGTGTAGCCAGGGGCAGAGGGGTGGGGGTGAAGAAAGGATAGGCCTGCATAAACACTTAACCCAGGTTTCCTTTGGATCCTTGTGCCCAGTCAACGCCCAGGTCTCATTGTAAAAATAAGTGGGAAGGCTGGAGCAGCAAATAATGTGCACTATAACCTCTAATCTTCAGAGCCAGATGGTAACTTTGGCCAAGTAGAAAAAGAAAGAAAAGAAAAGAAAAGAAAAGAAAAGAAAAGAAAGAGAAAAACACAAGCCTGCAGTAACTGAGGTTTCTAATTTTAAAAACGATAAAGAAAATTAGACTCATAATACAGACAGACGTCTATTTTCAGTGAGTTTCCCCCCCCCTTTCATTGTGAATTTATTACCATTTCCTGATTGAATTTTGAGTCTGTGCACCTGGTAAGGAAAGCTGGCTACGAAAGATTTGTTCTGCAAAGGTGGCAGTCCCTATGCACTTCTTTAACAAAAATAATTGAACTGAAACTAAATTTGATGTCCTTCCTACTGTACTGCAAGGAGTCTTTCATTCACTTTTCAAGGACAGAGGCAACCTGAAATTAAGGAGAAACTTCCTGACAGTGAGAACAATTAACCAGTGGAACAGTTCGCCACAAGAAGTTGTAGGTGCTTCGTCACTGGAGATTTTTAAGAAAAGACTGGACAGCCACCTATCTGAAATGGTGAAGAGTCTCTTGCTTGAGCAGGGGGCTGGACTAGAAGACCTCCAAGAACCCTTCCATCTCTGTTCTGATTGAAGCCTTCTTCCCCTTGCTGATTACTGTAGCCCACTTGTCTGGGAAAGGAGGGGCTGAACCGGCCTTTGGCCAAACTGCTTGCCCAGATCCTTAACAACAGGAGGAAGAAAGCCCTGGGAAGGAGCCGGGACAGTACTAAGTGGGCAAATCAGACAGGAAGCCCATTAGCGCCCCACCCAGAATTGGAAAGAGCTCTGATATTTTATAAAAAATTAAAAGTGGACGCACAATGTTGGAAAAGTTGAGTTTTCGTTACAATGAGCACGTTTTCTTTGTCACTGAAGAAGTGGCCTGCAGCCCCTTCCTTGGCTCCACCTGGATTATTACTTTATCCTCAGCCATTGTGGTGCCGTCCCCATGTTCACACACCCACCAACTGACCGTGGGAACATTTGTGCCCAGAACACTTTCTTTGCACGGATGCTTATTAAGGCACCATTGTAGGTTTTTCTTCTCACCACGAGTAAAGCCCCTGCAAGGGAGGGTTTCCTTCATCTACCTGAGGGCGCTTGGAAATTTATTCCTTATCTCCCTGGAATGTTTTCAAACTGATTTAATGGTTGGGAATGATGGGCGATTGTTTCGGGGGCCCTCCTTTTTATTCAGTTTTGGTCACCACGATGTAAAAAAGATGTTGAGACTCTAGAAAGAGTACAGAGAAGAGCAACAAAGATGATCAGGGGACTGGAGGCTAAAGCATATAAGGAACGGCTGATTGGGTATATCTAGTTTAATGAAGAGAAGGACGAGGGGGGACAGGATAGCAGTATTCCAATATCTCAGGGGCTGCCCCAAAGAAGAGGGAGTCAAGCTATTCTCCAAAGCGCCCGAAAGCAGGACAAGAAGCAACAGATGGAAACTCATCAAGGAGAGAAGCAACCTAGAACTAAGGAAAAATTTCCTGACAGTTAGAACAATTAACCAGTGGAACAACCTGCTTCCAGAAGTGGTGAATACTCCAACACTGGAAGTTTTTAAGAAGAGACTGGACAGCCATTTTTCTGAAATGGTGTAGGGTTTCCTGCCTGAGCAGGGGGTTGGACTAGATGACCTCCGAGGTCCCTTCCAACATTATTATTATTATTATTATTATTATTATTATTATTATTATTAATAATAATAATTATTATTATTTCTCTGCAGCCTCCCTCTGGGCTACTAGTTCCCAAACTGAGCACCCCTAGAGGAATATGTATTAAGTGTGTGTTTGTGTGTGTGTGTGTAAAATATATCTATATATCTATATCAGGGGTGTCAAACTGCCGGCCTGCGGGCCGGTTGCATCATACAGAGGCCTTGCCCACCCCAGCTCCAGCAATGTGAAAAAAGCCGTTTTCTCTGTAATATGCAAATACACCAAAATAGCTTTGATCTTCTGCATCCTTGCTGATAAGAAACAGAAGATTCAAGGGTTCCATCTAGTCAAGAAGGTTTTAGCGCCCCCTTCTGGTGGATAATCCAGTGCGCCCCAAATTCTGGGGACTGGAATCCCGCATCATAGAATAGAATAGAATAGAATAGAATAGAATAGAATAGAATAGAATAGAATAGAATAGAATAGAATAGAAGCTGGAAGGGACCTTGGAGGTCTTCTAGTCCAGCCCCCTGCTCAAGCAGGAGTTAAAGTTGCCAAAACTGAGAAACCCTGGACTTTGTGGATGTTTCAGGATCTCTTCCAAACTCTTGCATTCTACAATTCCAAAAGCAGCCTAAACATCCTAAGGAAAAGAAAACGTCACTCTGAAATTTTGACCATTATTTCAGCGATAAGGAAGGCCGAAATTCTGATTATGCATCTTCCATTGTTCGCCTGGATATTATCCTCTAAACCACGGGCCTGAACTGGCAACGGGTACATCGCAGAGAACGAAGGATAGCAATCCATCCATCAACCAACCAACCAACCAATCAATCATCAAATATAAAACTCCAAAGTTGTTTAGCTGGGCGCAGAGTAGTTCATCGGAATTTTATTTTTATTTTTTATTTTTTTACAAAAGCTTTCTGTAAATAAATACAATAATAGAATGCTCATTAACATCTAAATGAGATTCTTGCGAAAAATGATTGTTTTTCCTACCGTCGTACTTCCCAGATTCTCTGATTGCATGACTGTGGATGGAAAATGTAGGGAAAAAATGGTAGTAAAAGACCTTATCACTTCAACCAAATGGAGTCAAGGGTCTTCCTTTCCTGGGGTCCTGAGTTGGAGCAGGTTTGACGCATGGTGGACTCAATCCAGCTCTTTAGGAATGCCAACATTCCCATGCTGAAGATGCCACCAGCATGAGTCAGGTCACATCTGAGGCTCCCATGCATTGGGCTTAGCCCCCGGATCCCTCCCGTGGTTGGGGTCCGGCAGGTTTAGCAGGAGCAGGGCCCCCCCTGAAACCGTCTTCAGGCTGAGCACGCTGGGCACACTGTCCTGCAGGCAGGGCTGCCAGTCTGAGGCAGTCCGCAGCGGCTCGCTCTTCAGGCCGTGCGTCCGCTGGTGCTTGAGGAGGTTGGTGCTCTGGCCAAAGGCCCGCTGGCAATGGGGGCATTTAAAGGGCCCTTCGCCCATGTGGATGCGCCGGTGCCGGATGAGGGTGGAGCCCCGGCGGAAAGTCTTTTCACAGTGGGGACACTGGTAGGGCTTCTCCCCGTCGTGCAGCCGCTGGTGGCGCATGTACTCCTGCCGGCAGGTGAAGGTGGAGCTGCAGGAGGCGCAGGGGTACGGCTGCTCCCCGGTGTGGATCCGTTGGTGCCAGACAAACTCCTGCTTGTAGCGGAAGCTCTTCTCACAGCCAGGACACCGGTAGGTCTTCTCTCCGGCATGGCTCCTCTGGTGCCAGGTGAACTCCTGCTTGAAGCGGAAGCTCTTCTCGCACTCCGGACACTTGTACGGCCGGTCACCCACGTGGGCCCGCTGGTGCCACATGAATTCCTGCTTGTACCGGAAGCTCTTTTCGCACTCGGGGCATTTATATGGGCGCTCCACGGAGTGGGTCTTCAGGTGCCACGCCAGCTCTTGCTTGAAGCGGAAGTTCTTCCCACAGGTGCCACATTTGTGGGGCCACTCAGCCGTGTGGGTGCGCTGGTGCCACATCAGCTCCTGCTGGTGCCGGAAGACTTTGGCGCAGTCATTGCACCTGTAGGTCTTCTCTCCAGCGTGCACCTTCTGGTGCCAGCTGTACTCGTGGGCGTATCGGAAGGTCTTCTCACACTTCCCGCACTTGTAAGGCCTCTCCTCCTTGAGGACCCCCCTCGGGCGGATGCTCAGCGTGGAGCAGTGTGCACAGGAGCAGGGGGGCAACACCCTAGCTCGGCTTGGGGGTTCAGCAGGGGTTGGCGGGTTCTTAACATGGCTGTGCTCACATTCAGGGCACACCTGCCCCAATGCTCCACGGGACACCACTATTGGGATGCGGAGAGCAGAATGGATGGGAAAACATTTCTGGCACTGGGTGCAGATCAGCAGCATCTCCTCATGGGTGCCTGGCTGAGTGATGCTCAGGGGCCGGAAACTGCTTTCCCCAGCCCCTCGAGGTGCAGCCTGAAATTCCACCGGCAGAGCTTGCTCACCTGCCAGGCTGCAGTTCTCCCGCTTGAGCCCCACGTCCCCGGGAGACAGACCAGCTGATCCGTTTACTGCAGAATCAGACTCGAGGGAGCCTCCCATCCACCCGGGCTGCTCACAGAGGGACCCATGGTGCTGGCTCCCCTTCCGGGCCGGTGGACAGCACAGCAGACCCGTGTCATCTCCATCAAGGGCTGGCTCCTCTTTAATGGTCAGTTGGCCACCTGCGGGGACAAGAGACCGAACAAAAGCATTACGCAGATGCACGAGGGAAAAAATACAGTATAATTTGGAGTGGGGAGAAATGGCACCTTTCAGAGTTGTCAGAAAATGGCCATCATGGGGAGGGGGAGTGTTACAAAGCATCTGGGTAGGTCCAGTTGCAACGCTGCAGTGGCCAATGGGGGGGGGAGGGGGCGCCCTATCAACACAATGTGGCAAGTTCTCCTTTGGCAGTCAAAGATCTCCTGAACTGAGCCAGGGGTTGAACTAAGTGATCTCTAAGATCCCCTCCTTTGATTCTACCAGGCTGTTGTGAGCTGGTGGTCCCCAACACTTCCATGCCCTCCCCCAAATTATTCATACTCCCACTGCAGAAATCCCCAACTTCTCTGCAGTTGAAAAACCCAGCCCTGCAGATGGTTGGAAGCACCATTTTGATTTCTCCTTCTGCCTCCAGGGAAGGCAACCCTCTCCAGGGATCTGCAGCTTCAGACATACCCCCCAAATTGTCCTTTGAATCCTCTCTGGACTTTGGGAACTGTGCTCTCCCCGCACAGGGCTTCTCCCAGGCTCCGATCTGCAGGAGGACGCTGGGGGGTTGCGCGGCGAGACCTGGGGGCCAAAAGAGAGAGAGATGGGGGTGAATCCTGCCCTTTCGCTGCCCTCCTCGGTGTGTGTGTGTGTGTGTGTGTGTGTGTGTGTCTTTCTGCACTTTTGGCTTTGCTATCTCTTACTATCTTGCTATTTCCTTCCCTTTCCAGTGAAAAAGAGCTACCTAGAGACACCAGGGCTTCATAGTTGTCCTTCATGACGTCCCGGTAGAGGTTCCTCTGCCAGTCGGACAGCGTTTCCCACTCTTTTGCGGAAAAGTAGATCGCCACCTCCTCAAACGTCACTGGATCCTGAAAAAGGGGGACCCAGAGAGAGCTCAAGTGTTGGCCCAGTTTCCCTTCTCTTCCGGGGGTGGGTGGGTAGGTATAGCCAAGCAAATAACAGCATTGGGCCATCCCTGTTTTTTTTTTCCTGATTTCATTCCCCCAATTGGCATAATTTATACTACATTTTTAAAAAGAGAGAGATGGATTTGGAAGGAGGTAGAACGGTTTTAGTGTGGGGAAATCTGTGGTTTAAAAATCTCCTTTTTACTTCCTCCTCTCAAGTCCAAAGCCTTGCGCACTGGTCACTGCCTTTGTTGGGGAGCAATGGTTTAACCCACCTTTCCCCCCCCCCCGTTCCACTGAAGGCCAGGCCGATCCCCAAAGCAAGGGAAGAGTTGCCCCGTAGGATGCAAAGTTGGGGCAGAAGCCAGGTGGAGCAGAGGACAGACTTACCTGCTGAGTGGGGGCTCCAGCCATCTCTCAAGGTGAGGCCTTGCTGGTCTCCCTGCAGTCCAGCTCCTTCAGAATCAATACGTACAGCTGATCAGTGCAGGACTTTGGTTTTAGGCAGAGTTTGGGTGGGAAAGGCCAGCTCAAAAACACAGGGTTCCCAGGAGGACTGCAAATCCGGTTGGGGGAGCAGGGAGCGAAGGGAGAGGAGAGGGAAAGAGACAGAAGGAGACCTTTATAACCTATGTTTTGACTTGTGGTTTCGACTTGTGTGTGGTGTGCACTGTGGACAGCACTTAATTTCGTGGTGAGATACACCCTGACCATAAAGATTAGTCTATTTTTAAATTTCCTGTCCATGAGAACAATTAACCAGTGGAACAGCTTGCCTCCAGAACTTGTGGGTGCTCCACTGCTTGGTTTTTTTTTTTTAAGAAGAGCGGTGAACTGGTGGGGAAGCCTGGGATCTGTAGTCCCCCAAATTAGGAAGATGCCTGGCCCAGCCGACCCTTTGCGTGCGACCCCTTCCCTCGGCCCCGCCGAGACCCCCAAGAACTCCCCACGCGCCACGCCCGGACGGAAAGCGCTCCCCACGCAGGATCCTCGCCGGGAAGACTCGCCGCGCCCGATCCAGCTGGGCACAAAAGCCGGCCGGGGAGGCGCTTATCAGCCACACGAGGGGCGCAGCCCCGCGCCTGGCTCTCCTGCCCGGCTGGGCACCTGCGCTGGGCACCGGCGGCCGCCTCTCCTCCCTGCGCGGCGGTGGGCAGGCCGAAGGCGGCGGCGGCGGCGGGGGGGCTCGTCAGCCTTAACCCCTGCCTCGCCGCAGGTAGGCAGGCAGGCGTGCCATCCGCACACCGCCCCCGCCTGGCCGCCGGGGAAGGGGAGCCGGCAGGAGCCGCGCCCGGCGCCCGGCTGCTCGCTCGCGCACCGGGACCACCGGCGAAGCTCGGAGCTTTGGGGCCGGGGTCCCGGGAGCCACGCGCGCCCGGCGCCTCGGAGGGAAGCGCGGGGGTCTTTCGCTTCTTTTTGGGAGGGTGGAGGGGAAGGGCTCGGCCGTCGCTGCCTCCAATGGGCCCCCGGGCTTTGGCCAGGCAGGCTGGGCGAACCCCCCACGCGCGGTTCTCGTGGGAAGGCGAGGGAGGGTGGCAAGGGAGCGCACCGCGGTCTGCTCACCTTGGGAAGGAGCGCAGCCCCCAGTTGGGGGACAAGCAGCAGAGCGACTGGCGCCCCGGGCCTTTGCGGCTTTTAGGGGGCTCTGCTTGGAAAGAGGCTGTGGCTGTGAGACCCGGGTGTCAGTGGCGAACTCCGCGAACTGTAGCAACTCGGGCAAGCGAACGGAGCCATCGGAAGCGGCCGGGAAGAACTCCGCTGGCTGCTTGAAGCTCCAACTCGGTCGGCTGCTTTGCGGCTTCAGGATGTCACGCAACCCTAGGCGGAAGCTGACGCGCAATTCGGCGCCTGCACCCGGTGCCGCTTGCGAGCGAGTGGCTAGGAAAAAAAGGAGGGGAACCCGCTGGTCTTCCCCCAAGGAACTCCTCGGGAGCTAATCCAACCTCAGACGATACAAGAAGGTAGATCCGTTCCGTCGGGGTGGTCTAGATGGCCACATGGGATCCCTGCCGTTTCAGCGGAAGCCTACGGCAACCTGGGCATACAACCCCAAATAACAGATCCCTAATCTGAATGTGGAAGTACTCTGATTCCCATCTTGCTATGCGGTTGTGCAAGAAGATGACAGACAAGGATAGTCCTTCCCATGGGAAAAAACATCAACACTTCCGGGTGTGTCTTGACAACTCAGGCAGAGGAATAACAATTACGTATTATTATATATTACACTATAAACTTGCACATTCTATGTATACATATACATATTCGCCACTATTGCATGTATTTATTTTTGTACATACATACATTTTATACATATACTACTACATATGCATATAATATATATATACCGTACCTATAGACATATACTATGCTGATATATCATGACATCTTAGGTTCTTGCATAGGAAGACCAACACCACCAGCTAAAGAACTCATAGCTGTGACTTCCCATTGTTGTGTGCATAGTACATTTCAATTAGCATCCTAGGGATTAGGCTGTGGTTTCACTCTGCCCCACTTAAGTGTGGCGAGTGATAACCGGAAGGATATGAACCTATGCGTGCTCCTATCTCTAGCAGAAGCTTTTGTGGCGTCCTCTTTGTGGCAGCCTCTCCAGGATTAAGGCTGCCACAAAAAGGAGCAGGTCCACTTATTTTTCCAAAGCCCCAGAAGGCAAGACAAGAAACAATGGATGGAAACTAATCAAGGAGAGAAGCAACCTGGAATTGAGGAGAAACTTCCTAACAGTCAAGACAATTAACCAGTGGAACGGCTTGCCTTTAGAAGTCGTGGGTGCTCCATCACTGGAGGTTTTTAAGAAGAGACTGGACGGCCAATTGTCTCAAATGGTATAGAGTCTCTTGCTTGAGCAGGGGGCTGGACTAGAAGACCTCCAAGGCCCCTTCCAGCTCTATTCTAATTGATCGGTTGATTGGCTGGGCAAAGGCAATCCAGGCTCCAGATTTTTCCTTTTGCTCAGCTGAGAATATCGCCTCTCCCCCCCTCCCCTCTTTTGGATAACCCCTTCATTCTTGGCAACCTCTTTCCTTCCCCACTTCCAGCTGGATTTCTCTGCTGGTTGGTTCGCTTTGAAGGCAGCCTAGCGCATTAGCCAGCACCGATACCTCCGCCTGATGTTGCTGGAAGCGATGGTTTTCTTACCAATTCCAGATTAGAGACATGCTCCAGGACATCACCAACTTGGCATTTTTCAGTTTGGGTTGGAAATTTGGAGACCTCTAAGTCTAAATCCAGCATGGCTGTTGGGCAGTTGGCCACAGAAGGGTTGATACAAATAGTCTTTGAGGTCTTCTGGTAACTGGAAATGTTTCTGTCCCATCCTTGGCCAACCATTTTGGCATCTGCAAACCATCTGGGTATTTGCAATGCAGGAGACTTTGTAACCCCCCCTCCCCTCCCGGGGAACCTTCCCCCCTCTTTTACCGTGGAGAAACGTCTTCCTTCTGATCCAGGAGTTGCCAGATTCTTGCAGAAATTGCTGGATAAACATCTGGAAGGGAGACGCGCAGTTGTGAACATTCAAAGTTAGAAGCTTGACTAGAGCTAGAAAAGCTCAACCCTTGTGAATAGGACATGAAAAGCAACAGGGCCTAAAGCCACGTACAGAAGGCCAGCGTTACATCTAGAGATCTTCTGCCACATTCTGTCCAACATTGCTTCATTGAGCACACAACTGTGGAAAGCTGCGCTATTTAGAGCACACACTTACAGATCTGTGAAAAAATATTTATCAGATCTTTGGGTTTTGCTTGCTGAGAGTAATCCAAGATTCCGGAAGCACCTGTGTTTCATGATTTTACTTATGGAAATAAATGAAGCCCACAGTAGTATATCAAAAGGAACGGCATGAAGCTCTGATGATATTTGGTAGGAAAGCGATACAAAAATCCAGAAATTCAAATCAGGGGAAATTTTCCTTCTCAGAGATCTGATGAAACTTCTTCAATTCAGCTGCAGACTCTGAGAACTTGGAGCCTTGTCAAGGACACCAGAACAGGTGTGGATTTGAAGCAGACGGTTCCCATAACAAAGCGGACTTGTTGATATGGATTACTTAAGACTTTGGAGGTTTGGCTGGGAAAACGATTGTTTAAGTCTATGAACTGGTGTGGGAACCTCAGAGTTAGTTTTGCTTTGATACAACCAAGCAGTGTATTCAATAAACAGTAAGATTTTCAGAAACAGAATTAACCCGGAGTTTTATTTGGATTCTCGAACTGGATGTTGACACTGAGGTATTTATGACTATTTTTTTTTCTGTAGTTTTAATTATCCAGGTTTTATTTATTTTTCTTGAAGGACATATCCATGTGGGCGCATTTACAAGACCAAGGCAAAGTTCATTCTTTGAGGAAAATGGCAAATGCTGGACTACAATTCTCATAAATGCCAATGGCACCCTCCCTTCCAAACATCTGGAGGATGGAAATGTCTAGCAGTTGGAATCCAACCCATATGGCTTGGGCAACTAAGATCTAAGTTCTCTTGCGACACTCACCTCTCTGGCTCACGATCCAGTTCCTCCTTCGGTTCGTTGATGGGCATACGGTCTGCTTTGTCTTTTCCATAAGCTACGTTCTTCTGTGCCACATGCAGCTCGCCAACTCCCTCTTCCTGTGGTGAGCAAAACCTGGACTTGTCTTTCTCCTGTCTTTCCTTCAACCAGCTGCGCTGCAGAGTGAGGATGTCATCCATGTGTTCCTGCAGGCAATTTTGTCTGATCAGAAGGGGCCATGAGCAAGAAGTGACTTTCAGTGCTAAGCCTCAGTTCCAGCCAGAATGTGTAGTGTCCACGACAAAAGGCCTCTCACGGCTCCGACTGGCTGGACTTTGAAGAGGGACTCACGTGAACTAGCTGCTCTTTCAGGCCTTCGAGAACTGACTGACTCTCCAGGCGAAGCTGCTCTTTCTGCTGCCTCAACTCCAGCTCCTGAAGAAGGGAAAAAGTCAAGTGATTACGTGACTTGAGAAGAACCGTTGTAAGAGAGTGAACAATAAAGGAAACCGATAACTTTCTCGGTTCGGGCCTGATAGTCCAAACCATCACTCGCCTTCTCCCTCTGGATCTGGAAAATGCGCTGTTTTTGCCCCTCAAGCTCCTGGTTGAGGTCCTGGATGTAACTCTGAATTTCCTCCCTCGCCTCTCGCAGGGCCTGGAGGGCAGCGCCGGAGGAGAGAGGAAGACCCTCCCTGGGAAACAAGGAAACAGCAGATGGTGGAATTGGCCTTTTTGCAGTTGTGACATTATGACAGCATTTCAGGGTATCTGCAGGTAGTCCTCCACCTGCAACGGTTTGTTAGTGACCGTTCCGGGTTACCATGGCACCAAAAAAAGAGACTTAGGACCCTTTTTTACCATTGTGACCATTGCAGCATCCCTGTGGTCACGTGATTTACACACAAGTTTTGATGCCTTGCAAAGAGGGCTCAGCCCATCGGCTGGAGGTTGCCGGTTTTGCAAGGAAAGAACCAGTTCACAAAAACACAGCAGACACAGATCAGCCCTGCCCGCTATTCTACCTGTACAGCAGGTGAGGAAGCAGGACTGCCTTCTCCGGGAGGAGCTGCTGGAGCTGCCGACATGCTAAGACAATCTGGGTGGCCAAGAATTGATCCATCCGCTCAGCCTGGGCCTGAGCTTCCCGCTCCCGGAGGGACAACCGGCTGCATTCTGCTTGCAGATGTTCTCGATCTTCTTCCATCTGCTGTAGCTTCACTCTTGTTTCTTCTTTTTCTTGCGTCCTTTCCTGGGTGAAGAAGAAACACCCACGCACCACCCCAAGAACCTGTTTCAGGAACCAGGGAAGTTCAGCAGATGGGTTTCTCACTGCCGCAAACAGAGGTAATGCTGGTTGTCATCTTGAAAGCCCTTGGATTCAGGTCAACTGCCTTTTTCCAAGGATCCCCACCCATCTAATTCTAGTCTAGGGAAGAGAAGGAGCAGGGGAGACAAGATAACACGGTTCCAATATTTGAGGGGCTGTCACAGAGAGGAGGGGGAGTCAATCTGTTTTACAAAGCACCCAAAGGCCAAACAAAGAACAATGGATGGAAACTGACCAAGGAGAGATTCAACCTAGAAATAAGGAGAAATCTTCTGACAGTGAGGACAATCAACCAATGGAACAGATTGCCTTCAGAAGTTGTGGGAGCTTCATCACTGGAAGCTTTCAAGAAGAGACTGGGCTGCCATCTGTCAGAAATGATGTAGGGTCTCCTGTTTGGGCGTGGAGTTGGACTAGATGACCTGCAAGGTCCCTTCCAACTCCGTTATTCTACTCTATTCTAAGATGCCTTAATGCGGATCACTGCCTTTTTGGAAGATTCTGAAGCCCATCGTGCTGTTGAAATTGGACGGCAAAATGGTCACAACAACGTAAGTGGGGGAAAACAGACGGACCATTACAAAGCCAAATGTCTCTTTGCAACCCACAGGCTCTGTTCTTGTGGGTGGGTTGTTGCCTCACCTGGTCCAGCTCCTCCCGCAGCCTCTGGAGAGCTTCATCTTTTTCCTTCTGCAACCCAACCTGGAGTTCTTCCAGGCTGGCTCGTTTCTCCTCCTCCAGCAAACGGGTCTGGTTCTCCAAGCCTTCAATCTTCTGAAACACAGAATGCCCAGATGGGCTGTTCTCACTCCTGCCTTGCTGTCCCATGGGCTCTTTGGCTGGCTACCCCAAGGAGGCAAGGGAGGGGGGAGGCGCCTGGTTCTCCACCAAATTCAGGCAACCATGACTGCAGACCTCCTGCCCCCATCAGGGATGGTCCTCATCAAGTAGGTGTCAGGCACAAGGAACCAGAACGAAACCATAAATTGATCAGAGTAGTTTCTTCATTGTTGTTTGCCTATTTACAAGAATCTTGCCAGACTAACTATGCTCTCTTGGGAACAAGCAAACAAAGGATTCAAGGATCTTAAGCAGGGTCTGGCCTCTGTCTCTTCCTCCCCCGTAGGGATTCTAAGCTCGCAGGTCTCTTTACTCCACCCCCTACTCTAGCTGGAGATTCCACCACATAGGTGGAAAAATTAAGAAGGACTACTAGCCCAAAATGAGTAAGGCTGAACTCCCAACATTTTTTTTTTATTATTAAAGGAGCCGTTCAGGCAGCCTCTTCCAGAGTTGTGTGACCCTCTTCTTCCCAGAATGCAAACTGTCAAGAATGAAACTTTGGTAGCTCACCCGACGGAGGTCAGCCTCTGCATCCCGCAAAGCACTGCTGAGTTTCCTTTCTTTCTCCAGGGCTCTCTGGAGATCCACCCGCCTCTTCCGATCCTGTTCCCGCAGGGCCTCCCACTGCATCTGGAGCGCTGCCTGGGCATGGGCTTCCCATTTCTTCTGCTCCTGGACCAGTGAGTTCTGCACCTGGGAAGGACACACAAGGGGGCAGCAAATCAGTCGCATAAGGTGGGGCCCAGGATGGGCTGAAGAGTCTTCCAGCCTTGGTGACTTTAAGATGGGTGGACGTCAATTCCCAGAATTCCCCAGCCAGCAGCCAAGGCTGAAATATGCTGGGCTAGAAGTGGAATGCTGCGTCCAGTTTTGGTCATCATCACAATGTAAAAAAGATGCTGAGACTCTGGAAAGAGTGCAGAGAAGAGCAGAGATTCTGTGACCAAAGGGGCTGATGAGGAAGAAAGTGGGGACACAGACCAGGAGCCGACCTACCATCTCCTTGGCCTCCACCTTCAGGGCCGCTGCCTGCTGCTGCAAGGCTTCCTGCTGCCGGATGGCTTCTGCTTCTCGCTCCTGGATGGAAAGGAAAGGGGGGAAAAAAGCTACCCTGGCTGGATTCAGACAACAGGTTCAATCCAGGTTAAGAAAACATAATGGCTACATTATGCACCTAATATGCTTTGCTGAAGTGGTTCAGATTCCCCCGCGAAGATGCGAAGAGAACGGCTGGGCTCCCAGCTCTGTTCTGGTCAATTAATATTAATCTTTCCAAATTACATTGCCGATTGCCCTTACTTCTCAAATATCGCCCTTTTCCTTTCTCTCAGCTTAATCATAGTTATTTCCCTTTTTTTATTTCTACTCCTTGGACTAGAGGATCTCCAAGGTCCCATCCTATTCTATTCTATTCTGTTCTGTTCTGTTCCGTTCTGTTCTATTCTATTTTGCTCCTATTCTATTCTATTCTATTCTATTCTATTCTATTCTATTCTATTCTATTCTATTCTATTCTATTCTATTCTATTCTATTCTTATTCTATTCTATTCTATTCTATTCTATTCTATTCTATTCTATTCTATTCTATTCTATTCTATTCATCTACCTTTATGATCTTTTGTAGATCTTCAATTTCCTTCTGGAAGGTGTCAGCTTGTTCCCGGAGAGCACTGGCTTTAGCCTCTTCTGAACTTTCAGCACACTGAAAAAAAGAAGGAGAAAAAATTAAAATCGGCTCGGCCACTCTTTATGAGGTCAGCTGCCAAGAACTTCCCTTCTGTCTTTTGAGGGCCGATCTCCTCTCTGGCTTCCATCCCTTTCCCAGCCTCTCCACAACCTCTCACAATTCCCAGAGACGCAAGATCCCACATGGATACCTCTTGTAAAGCCTGCTTCTTCTCCAGCTGCATCTCTTCCCTTAGCTTGCAGAGCTCTTTCTCCTGGCACGAAGAAAAACAAAAGGGAAAAAAAAATTACTTACGCATTCACTCTACCTACATCCCCTTTAATGTCTCCCAAACCTTTGGATACGAAGCTCTGCCCAATTCTAGGACCTTTAGCAAAGCAGAAAGGAAGCCAGGAACCCCCATCCTTGCTAAGAAAGAATAAATGCATGGCCAAGGAAGGATAAAGAGAACCTTTTCCTGGAAGGCCTCCTGCTGGAGCTGCTTCATCTGTTGCTGGTGTTCCTCTTTTAGGCTCCTGACAATACCGTCCAGGGCCCCCTTTTCCGCCTCCAAGACTGACAGGGTCTTGTGCATCCTTGCTATTTCCAGGTCCTTTTTGGACAGCAGAGCCTGCAAAACCAAAATCCTCCGTTCTGCTTCTAGATCTGAGATCCACCCTGCAAACAAGGTCAGGTCCTCTTGTTGTTGAGCTCACTCCCAGTTCATAAAAACCCTGGGTAACAACCAGCTCTAAGCAACCAATTTTCCTCCCCACATCTGAAATTGACGGTTAGTATTTTGGAGGGCTGTCAATCATTCCAAGTGGGGGGTCTCCAGTGGGATCTTCTTACCTCCTGGAGCTGCTTGGTCTTCTCACTGGCCATTTCCTCCATGGAGGACAACAAGGTTCTAGAACTCTTCAGCTGGAGCTTCAGAGAAGAGAGCTGGTCCTCTAAGCAGCGGACTTGGTCCTTCAACTCTTCTCGTTCACTGACCAGTCGAGAGACCTAAGATTTTTGTTTACAGAAAAGTAGACGACGAAATTTATCCTAAATAAATCAAAGCAGGATGAGTGGCTGCGACTTCTATTCTATTCTATTCTATTCTATTCTATTCTATTCTATTCTATTCTATTCTATTCTATTCTATTCTATTCTATTCTATTCTTATTTCATTCAGGGGAAGAGAAGTGACTCGCCAGTGTCAGAATATTTGACACTCCAAGTTGAAAGGTGATCTGAGGAAACGTTTTCTATGGATTGAAAAAAAAAGGGACCTGGGGGACCCTGCAGCTTGTGGATGCTCCCCTCTGATAGTCCTCTCTTAAAAGTAGTGGCAGGGGATGTTTCTGGCTGAAGGGAAGAGAGAAATCCCCCCCCAGGTGTGCATCCTTCCTCACCTCCACCTGCACAGCCCCGTACTGCCTGCCCTGCCACCTGAGCATGCTCAGTTCTTGCTCCAGTTCCATGACTTCCTTCAGGCAGGTCTCCTGCTTATATTCCAGCAGCCCCAGATCAGCCCTGCAGCAGGACGGAAGGACATTAACAGAATAGTAAAATAAATGGTTGGAAGGGACCTTGGAGGTCTTGTAGTCCAGCCCCAGCCATGTTTACCACATTGTCATTTTGGCAATGGATCTCAAATATCTGCCTCGGGGTTGTCCTACACTTATAGTAAATATTGATGGATTAATACCTGGCCTTTTCCACTTTCTCCTGATGTTCTTCCATTTGCAACTCCAGCCTCCTTGCCAGCTCCTGGCGCTCCCGTAAGGCTTCCTGAAATGTTTCCAGCTCCACAGCCGCATGCTGGGAGGAGAATGAGGAGGAGGAGGAGAAATTGAAGTAGGAGGAAGTCTTCTCAGAATGGCTGACCTCTGCTCTCCTCGGTGGGACTCGAATGTTTGATGTGGTTCTTCTGGCCCTTTGCCAGGATGACTGAGGCTCTCCAACGATCAACCAGTGCTTTGAGCTTCTATTGAAGCTCTGCCTCTGTTCAGAAGATTGCTCTAGTCCTTTTCCTCCTCGCTCTAATCCCAGGAATTCACTTTTCCTGGAATCCACTTTTCCCCCTTCTTCTCTCGAGCTCTGGAGTCTGGCATGAAGACTCCTCTTCCACGGTTGGCCTCCCCTTCCTGCATCCGTTCCACTGGAGCTCTTGGCTGAGCAGTTCTTGACTCTGTGTTGAGTAAGAGGTGCCATGTTCTTGAGTCCATCTCGAGGAAGACCCCAGAGTGGCCATTCTCTGGAAGGGGGAGCCAATTCTTGGCTCCTTTTCTCCTTGGACACTTCTGCTGGCCACCGCTTGCTTGTCGGCTCCAATCTGTGAGAATCCAAAGCAGGATGGAGAGATCTGAAAGGTGGACAAGGACCAGCCATCTCAGGCAGGACGGTGGCCTTGGATGTTGGTGGCCTCACATCTCTGGGGCCTAATGCGAGACCAGAAACAGCCTCGTCCTCACCGGAGCTCAGCCCCAGATCCACCAAACCTTTGTGGAACTCAGCAGCCAAGTCTTCGGTGCAAACGGAGTCTGATCTGCTCGGGGCCTCCTTTGAGTCAGGGAGGTGCAGCAGCTGCCTTCTGCGGTCCATCTCCCGAGAGGACATGTCTCCATCCCCACCTGCGTTGGTCCTGCCTGGATCTGCTGTCCTAGAAGTGGCCTCGGTTTCACCCAGGCCGAGAGGACCATCCCAACTGCTTCCCTTGATCCTTGGTCCAGGTCCCTGTGAGGCAAGAGTAGCAGGTTAGGGGGGTATTTCACAAGGAGGACAGGCTAGAAACAGCCAAGAGGAACAGATTTCAGAAGATGCTGCAGAACCTATAGGTTCTCCTGCTTGAGCAGAGGGCTGGACTAGAAGACCTCCGAAGTCCCTTCCAGCCCGAGATCTTTGAATCTTCAAGCTGAAAGATCTAGAGAAGGTTAAGGTAGATAACCCCTGGTGCACTGCAAATGTTTGGGCAGACAGGGTGGCTGTGGCTGATAAGGTCCAAAACATCTGGACAGCACACACCCAACACATCAGCAGTATTCACAATCTATTATAAAAAACAAAAATAATCTATTCGCAAATTTTAAACAATGGTTTTTATGTCTTTGGGTGCTCTGTGACTATAGAAAACTGTAGCCTATTTTACAGTCATGCTTAGATGCTCTATGGCTTAGCACATTTTTAAACCCAAACCCTAGGATGGCGAAATTGTTAGGGATGCCCTAGGCAGGGGTTGGCTTAGATGATCTCCAAGGCCCCTTCAGGTCTTTTCATCCTGTGATGCAGACCCAACAAAGAAATGCACGTTCCTCCATCTAGCTTGATTTAATTTCCTGGCATTAGCTGGGCAGAGACTCAGCTCTGCAAGCTTGGAGTGAGGTGGGCAAGACAGGCCTTCCTTGAGCAGATATGACTCTGAGACTTTTGCATTCCAAGTTCTAGGAAGGACTCTTTGCCTAAACCTTTCAAAGACCAGTTGGAGTGCAATGGGCAAAGCTGTCTCCCCTGGCCAGCTGTCTCCCCTGGCCAACCTAGGTGTCCGATCCTGAGGCACAGACAGCAAGGTGTGGCTGACCTACCTGCATGGGGTTGAGCTGAGCGTCGATGCAATCCAGCAGGAAATCGCAGTGACCCTTGGTGCAAGGGTGCAACCTCTTTACCAGAGGGACAGCTGTCTCTCTCATCACTTCTGAGGAAGCAGAAAACCTGGCTCAAAAAGAGTAACTGCGAGAGGGACCTCAGAGCCCTAGCGGACGATCCCTTAAACAGGAGCCAGCCGTGTGCGGCAGCAGCCCCAAAAGCCAATGCAATCCTAGGCTGCATTAACAGAGGGATAGAATCACGATCACTTGAAGGGTTAATACCCCTTTACAATGTGTTGGCAAGGCCACAGGTGGAATACAGCATCCAGTTTTGGTCGCCACGGTTATCTGTTCTGGGCTGCCAGAATCCAGAAGATCACTCCATGGCCAAAGCGAACTTTTGCTGCTTTCCAGTGGCACTAATACACGGTGCAGCTAATGGGCAAAGTCTATCTTAGGAAGTCCGGCATCCTGAGTAGGTACATAGGAGCACAGATGCCGCTTTGGGGGCAGGGATCGCTCCGCCTTCATGCCTAAACTGCCCTTTGGCTGGACCCAACTTCCTTCGGCCACCCCATTCCGTATCCCAGCCAGTCTTTCTCCCACTTAGAACTGGGCAGGAGTATTAACAGCGCAAGTGCGAGTGGAATCCGATTCTCTGGGCTGCGCGACTTTTCTTCAGGATGGAGGGGGCAGAGACGCAAGAGGGGAAATGCCCCAAGTGGGAGACCCGGCAAAGAATCGAGAGGCTCCCGCGACTCACCAACTGCCCACTCGGCCGCGCGCGGGCGGCTCCTCCCGCTTGGCCCGGTGGAAACTTCGTTTGCAGCCCTGGAACGTCCCGGGCCGGGGTTGCTTAGCTACCTTATAACGCGGAGCAGCTCCGGCGCTCCCATTGGCGGAGAGTCTCATCCGTTGCCTAGGGACACCACACACGGCGGACTCTCGGAAAGGGGCGGCGGGAAGCCACGTGTGACTGCTGGGGGAGCGGTCCCTGTAGGACCCCCTCCCCAAGACTGGATGCTGGAAGAAACACTCCGGAACTTGGGGAAAGTTGGAAGGATGAGGAAACGTTATCTTGGGGTATTCCTGAAGGAAGCAGAAATCGTGGAGGAAGGAACTTTGCATTCAGCAAACATGAATTTGTACTGTCACCTGTCGTCCGTCCATCCATCCACCCACTCACATACACACCTACCTACCTATCTACAATCTACCATCTACGGTACCTACCTATTTTCCATCCATCCACCCACCCATCTTATTCTCCATCCATCCACTCACCCACCCATCTTATTCTCCATCCATCCATCCATCCATCCACTTACCCATTCTCCATCCATCCATCCACCCATCCACTCACCCATCTTATTCTCCATCCGTCCGTCCATCCATCCACTCACCCACCCATCTTATTCTCCATCCATCCATCCATCCACTCACCCATCTTATTTTCCATCCATCCGTCTATCCATCCATCCAAGCATTATTTGATATTCAATAAGGCATGAAAGCTTTCTTACTTCCTTTCTCACAAACCCTACTTCCACTGAAATAGGCCTTAAAAAAGACAAGCCAAGCACAAAAATCCCTGTATCTTTTATTGTTAACATAATTAAAGCTGAACTGAGAGAAAGAGACAGGAAAACATCACATCAGCTCAGATTTTTACAATGTAAGAGGATCAGGAAAAAAATGCTACAGTTTGTGGCTCTGATTTTTGGAGGATTTGTGTGTATGGGGGGGGGGGAAGGATTGCTGGAGATACACAGGTGATCCTGTTGAAGAGGAGATCCTTGCAACGTGGCCTGAATTGCTTTGAATGTCCAGTGCAATGTGTCCACTCCAGGACACGCTGCATTGTCTAATGAGGGAGAGCAGGGCCGTTGCAAAAAAACGCCCCTAGCTGGACACGGAACAGGTACCTGAAGACACAATGACCAAATCCATGTTTCTTCAATGTAGGTTCCCTATCCCATAATAATCTCCAGACAAATTGGTTAAGTTCATGTTTCTCACCCTTGGCCACTTTATGATCTGGGGGCCTTCAACGCCCAAAACTCCCTAGCCAATGTCGGGCGTTGAAATCCACACATCTTAAAAAGTTATCAAGGTTGAAAAACATTGGGCTAAAGGATTGGGTGTTGTCATTTTACGGAACACAGATTAAAACCCAGAGACAAGCAGAATAACAGAGTAACAGAATGGCAGAGTTGGAAGGGACCTTGGAGGTCTTCTAGTCCAACCCTCTGTTCAAGCAGGAGACCCTACCATCTTGGACAAATGGCTGTCCAGTCTCTTCTTAAAAGCCTCCAGTGATGGGAGCACCCACAGCAAGGCTGCATTTTAAACCAGGAAATAAGAGCTTTAAAGAAACTAAAGAAATGATTTCTTCCCTAAATTAAGAGACTTTGGCACACATACAGTTCAAACATATCAGGAAAATTTCTTTTTTGTGCCATCATTCTTCATTTCCACCCCCAGGATCTCCCCCCCTTTTTTTTAAAGAGAAAAACTTCCCAGGAGCACATAAATTTAAGTAAAGTTTACAATCTGCTTCCAATCTGCTTTTGCTATTGCAGGTGGCACTTGCTGTTGGTGAGCCATCCACACAACCTTTTTTTCACCGTTGCAAGCGAATGCACAAAGGTTTTCAAGCAAACCCTGGCTTGGAAAAACTCCAGCCTGGGTTTTATGAAGGTCTTCAGGAATCTGACACCATCCTCAAGCTGATGCTTTCCAGATGTGTTGGCCTACCCTACCAGCTTCCATCGTTCCCAGCCGGAGTTCCGGTTGATGCCAGGGAAACACAAGGAGCTCAACACATTCAGAGAACACCAAGTTGTTTCTTCTGGAGAGCATAACCTTAGAATCAAATTTTGTCTACAGCAACATTCTTCAACCTCAATAACTTCAAGAGGTATGGACTTCAAACTCCCAGAAGTCCCCAGCTGGAGAATTCTGGGAGTTGAAGTCCGTATCTTTTGAACTGGCTGAAGTTGTAGAAGTTTGGCCCACCAAATTTGTTCTGACTTTGGTTTTGGAACAAATGACACCCCACAAAACTACCCCACTTTGGCCACTATCCATCAGGCAATTTTTGTGCAGGGATCCTGAATTCCATAGGATGCAGCACAGTTTGTACATCTTATCCCACTACTTAATTTTACTTAAGGAAAAAAAAGGGGGGGGTGGAGTAGGAGGAGGCCATTGTACCCTGAAAGGATCCAAAACGTGTTGAACACATTTGTACTATAAAAAGATTCGGACAGAGAGACTCCGTCTTCATTTCTTTGCTTCTTCTAGTTACATACCCATATAAATTTAAACAAAATAATTTTATATATATTTGTGTACATATATTATATATATATAATACATATAAATTAGAAACAAATAAATAGAGATTAAAGGTACACTGCCATCAGCGATAAGAGTACACTGATGTTCAGTCGCTATTGTTATTCCGTATACAAGGTATGTGTCTGTGTGTGTATATGGGCCTAGCTACGATGTGTGAGCGTGTAATGGGTCCTCCAGGATAGGGGATGTGGGGATTTGGCCAGTGTTATCCCACGTGGATCTTGCCGTGCCTTTAGCACTCTGGAAGCCAGGGGAGGCAAGACCCCTTAGGGACAGCCCCCCCATTATTGCTTGTTTTTGTCCCCCAGGAGAGAAATGGTCCACTTCTCAGTGAGTGCTGATGAGATGCCACCTTCGGTGGGGAGGGGCTGTTTCTGCACAATGGCAGGATGTGCTGGGGCTCTTTAGTTGCCTGTCCTGTTGGGCTCAAGGTGGGGGGGGGGCTTCTCCAAGCCCCAGCAGTTCAGGGCACCCCCCGAAGCAGTCTGGCCCTGGGGGATGATCAGCTGGACAACCGGGAAGAGGAACCAGTACGGCAGGAATCCTCACCTACAAGAGGGGAGGACTTCAACTCCCAGAATTCCCCTGGCTAGCCATGCTAAGGTTGAGAATCACTGGATCTGGCATCCTGGACTGGGGCAGAGCAGGGCCAGCACAGAGAGCAATGTGCTAAGGGTCCCAATGCACCACCACTACCATCACCAGCAGCAGCCAGTGCCCCCCAGGTTGACAGGGACTGCAGTCCCCAGAATCCCCGCCAGCAGAGATGCCAGCAAGGCCTGTCCATGGGAGCAGCAGGTGGAGCTACGTCTCCTGTGGAGAAAGAGAAACGGAAGCATATCTCAATGTAACCGACTGCGCCTGGGATGTTGGCTAAGGAGGTAGCTAGGCTGGTGACCGCAGGATGCCTGAGCTGACCAGAACCAAGAGGGCATTTTGCTGGCCCCCTCTTCGATCTTCTACCCTTGCCAGTTTCCTCTCCTTCATCTGAGGAAGAAAATCTTAAAACGGCAAGACGGTTCTCTGTTTGTGCGTGCGTGCAGGCACAGATGTGCTTTCTGCACACATGGAGCCAGCTGTGTTGCAAAGGTGATTTTTGCCCAGGGCATCCCAGAGCGGGCTGAGCATTCATCCAGCCTGCAATGCTCTAAACCCAACAAATATCCTGTGTTAGTGATGGGGACCTGGCTAGCAGGACAGCAAACTAACCAGCTTTGCCCGAAAGGCGAAAACAGGCCATGATTCAACCGAATGGGGGGAATGCTGAGTGTTTGATCCTCGCCTAAGCTCCCGAGCAGAGCTGTCCAAAGCAAATGAAGGAAAAAAGCAACCGGAAGGTCGGAGAAGCCAAGGTTTTGCTGTGGCTGCCTTCCCTGTTCTCCAAATGTTGAAAAACAAAGAGAAAATCTTAAAAATCCTTCCGGGAAACACAGCTGGCCTAGGAGGGTAAAGAACAATTTCTCCATCGTCGTGTTTAATACATCTTCAAAATCAAACGTCAGATCACTCTCCACCACATTTCCAGACTGGGGGCTGCAAAGAAAACTCAACCCTGGACAGAATCAGGGTTTGAATCCCTCCCTACCCTGGAGAAGAAGGACAGACTTCTTCCAAAGAGCTAAAGAAAGAAGATTGGCCCCCCACTCCACCCTAGAGAATTTCGAGGATCCCCCAAGAGGGTATATGGAGCTGCCTGAAACTTGGGGGAATGGGGATTATCTGCAGATTAAAAGTAGGGTTCATTCCCACGTGGCAATGAGAAATCAGAGGGGGAAAAAAAAGTCTTGAAACACTCACCATTTCCAATAAAAGAGATGCATCTTTGGAACTCAGAGCCTTGGTTAGTGAAACCGAGGCCTTGAAAGCGAAGTTAACTGCCACCCCAGAGGCAGGTTTAAAAAAAAAAAAAAAAAAAGAGGGGAAAAAAAACCCTAGCAAACAAACAAACAAACAAACAAAAAAACACCCCACCCCATTGTGTCTCAAATCCTAACTGGTAAGCTTAAAAAAGTCACTTAAAAAAATCATATGCCATTTTATTAGTGCATAAAAATAGCTTTTGGAATCCCTGTTTGGTTTGTCTTGTCTTACTCTTTGTTTGTTTGTTTTTCTTCGCTTGCATTTTTTTTGTTTTGTTTTGTTTTGTTTTCAATTCGGGATTTATTTGAATCTCTGCATGTTTCTCCGAAAAGTGGCTGGGGAGGTGGGAGGGGGGAGGGCAGGAGACCACCCAGAGGGGCTCAGCTACCGGCCCTTCCGTCCTGCCACGGATGCAGAGGCTTCGCGCCCGGCGCCCACGAGCTCAGCTCAGAAGATGCTGGGACACTGGCTCCAGTCCTGCTTCTCTTTGCTCTCCCAGTAACCGCCCTTGTAGACGCACATCAGCTCCCCCGTCACCGGGTCCACCTTCCTTTCAAACCACATTGGGATGTAGCCCTTGTAGTCCTTGCCTGCAAAAAAAAGCAGGGGGGAGGGGAGAAACACAGGAAAAACACGCCCCACACAGGTTTTGGTGCTGACACGGCAAAGCCCATAGATTCTCACCAACTGTCTGGGACAGGGGTGGGGAACCTTGGCTCTTGTATGACTTGTGGACTTCAACTCCCAGAATTCCTGAGCCAGTGGGGAACCTTGGCTCTTTTATGACTTGTGTTCCCCCCCCCAGCCTCATATTCCCTCGTGTGAAGAGAAACTTAAGGATCCCTCTGTAGATGTTGGATTTCATCTCCCACCTGCCCAGCCACCAGGGCTATAAGGAGGGATCGATGGGACGTGTAGTCCAAAAACATCCTTCCTTGTAACCCAGCCGAGAGACCAGCTGATCTCAAGGGCGGTTTCTTTCCGGTACCTTCTGCCAGCGCTTCGGCTGCCTCGACTTCCCGCTGCCGGCGCACGGCCCGTTGCTTCTCTTCTAAGCGTTGTTTCTCCACGTTGGCCTCGTCCCATTTGCCGTTCTCCATCAGCCGCTGGTCGGGCCTCAGGCGGCTGTCCGTGGGAGCAACGCCCTCTTCTGGCTCGTTGAGGGTCAGTGCCAGTTTGGAAAAGAAGTACATATTTTCGGCATTCTCCCTGGAGACAGACGAGCCGGGACTGGACTTAGAGAAGCAGCGGCTGGCACCGGCAGGGGCTTCCCTGCGTGGTGCCGGCATTTGGTCCTCTACATTCGTGGAGCCCCCATAATAATCTGGGCCTTCTCCGCCGCCTCAGAATGGCCAATCCCACAGCTGGCCAACCCTTAAGCCCCAAGCCTGTTGGGAGGACTCACGGGAGGGGATATTTCTTCCACAGGACCTTGGGGGACAAGGTCTGGTAGACCGTTTTCGGAAGCTTGCCTTCCGAAATGGAGTTTCCCTGGCTGGCTTCGATGATCTTGGAACACTCCATCTTCTCGTCCCATGTGCCGGACATGACGTAGTGCTCATTGCCATCGGCATCCATTACCACCCCCGTCACCTGGGAAGGAAAACCAGAAAGAGGAGGGTCCGTGGGGGGCTGTCAGCCCCACCAGGTAGAAATCAACTCTACGGGTAGCCTACAATGACTTCGACTGAGATGGGATAACACAGGGTATCTTAACCTCGGCAGCTGGAAGGTGAGTGGACTTTAACTCCCAGAATTCCCCAGCCAGCTGTGCCGAGTTGATTTGTTATTGCAACAGCCATATCTGGGCTCAAAGTATTTACAGCCAAATCCAGCTCCTGCCCTTTCACATAGTCCCTATAAACTATTTCCCTTTGTTACTGGAACTGTCTGCTTTTCTTCCACACCTGCTTCAGTGTCCTTGGAAATGCCTCAGGCTTTCCCAGTAGTCAGCAGATTTGACAAATTTCCATTTCTCCATCTAAACACTTTTAAAGCAACACTTCCCCCTCCCCCTGCCCTCCTCCAACTCTAATGGCAAGAAGAAACAAATAGGCTGCCAAGGTTTCATTCTTGACAGTTACCTTCCGGGGGATGTCTCTGGAGAAGTAACTGTAGGGTGTGAATTTCAGCTGGCATTTGTCTTTTGATTTGTGGTTGAGGATTTCTATGTCACCAGACTGCACAAAAGAAAGAGAATTTGCCCAAGGGGTTAATTATCCATACTGACAGAAACCAGAATCAAGAAATCAGGAAAAATGGTTTCCTTTCTTTCTTATTTAATTCAAATTTAAAAAAAAATCACTGACATCACTGACGTATCTCTTTATTCACCAAGTGATTTTAGCAATGCTGCAGGATGAGGCCCGTCCATCCTTACCTGGTCAATCCAGAGTTTTCCCACAATAATATTGTGAACTGTGGATGTCACTTTTTGCCAGATATAGTGATTGCCGCTGGAGTGGAATTCGAGGTGGATGGTGCCTGCGGCAGAAAAGTAACCTTACGGTTAGAATATAAATCTCTCTATACAGAAAGGATTATCTCTGTAACTCTTATTGGATTTTTGCCGATTCGGATGGCAGGACGAGGCTTCATTATTTGTTAATTGATAAAGGAGGATGAAGAGTTTTTCTTTTTTCTTCTTTTTCCTTGTTTATGTTAGTTTTATTTTTAATCTTAGCGTTTTTAAACTTTAAGAAAAATTATTATAAAAAGAAAGAAAGGAGAAAGCAAGGAATAACACTGTGGCATAAACTGCCCAGCCCCAGAGAATCGGGCGGCACCTGCTCCATCCTGCTCCGGAAAGCATCTCGACTATCAAGACAGCCGAGAGATCTGGTGTTATTATGAAAAACGGTCATGAGTTACTTTTCTTTCACTTTTTACTCACCCAGTGGCAAGATGGAAAGGTATTTGCCACGGAATTTGCTGGCAATGGTGATCTCCTGCCACAACGTCCAGCCACGCCTGGAGTACACATGGTGAGCTGCTGCTGGGGGGTGATGGCTCACCTGGAGGAGAAGAAACACACCTTGTAGGCAATTCTCGAAGCAGGATCCTCGAAGTGCTCTTTAGCAAGATTTATGGAGACGTCTCGGAGGGGAAGATTAACAAGGATCCCAGATTGAAATAGTGGCGCATAGCTGTAGCTTGGGTGTAGGATGAGGGCGAAGGTCCATTCTCCGAGCTTGCGGGCTGGTTTCCAAGCATTTCGGTACCAGGGTGGGTAACCCCTTCAGCGGAGTTGAGGGGACGTCAGTCTCGGTGTTCTGTTTATAAGGGCTTCAGGTGTGGGTGTTCAAGGGAGGGTCTTCTGATGGATATGGTAAGGGCTCAGGTGTACGTCATCAGTGAGAGTCTTGTGATGGGGAGTTTACATCAGGAGAGGGTCACCGGGAGGTGAACTGCTGGTGGGAGGATCGTAAAACGGGGCAAAACTCACTGAACAAATGTCTCATTTAATAACAGAAATTTGGGACTCCATTGCGGTCGTTAAGTCAAGGACTAGCTAAAACAGGCCAGTTGGAGACCCCTCCTGCTCTTCTTCTCAGCGCTTGAAATGGAACAAGCGGTTACAGGTGCCAATAGCAGCATGAAGACACGGCATAGACCGTCACTCAAGAGATTCAATCACTGCCCCAAACCCCAGTGAGTCTCTTCTTATCCTCCCACACAACATAGGATTAAATCTGCCACAATTGGAAAGATGGGATCCTGATTGAATAATTGGATTTTAGTCATAAGGTCAGCAGGTGGAGGAAATGGGGAAATAAGGAAGGAGTCTCTTTTTGCAGGCATCTGCGGAGTCCAGCCCCTCTGAGCTGGCAGCCTGGACCCAAACCCTACAGCACCTGGCCCTCCCCCGCCTCCTCCCCCCCCCACCGGTTCTTTGGCTCACCTGCTCAGAGAGCGAGCGGAAGCCAAGCTCGTCCAGGCGGTCCAGTTCGAAGGTCTCGCCCAGGAGCGGGTTGAAGGGCTTGGCGGTCCGCTGGACGGTGGTTGAGTAGGAAGACACGGAAAAGGCCGCCACGAAGCACATCTGCTCAATGGCGTTCTCACACCTGACCGCTCGGTCCAGTAGCTCGTGATACTCCAGGTCTTCGGTCAGCCTCTGCAGCATCGAGAGGGGCTCGTTGAAGTTGATCTGCAGGGAGAGGGGAGCAGGCAAGGGGGGTTAGGGGGAGTGGCAGCCCTGGGGGGCTTCACAGAGCCGCCCGTGGTCACGTGATTTAGATTCGGATGCTTGACAGATGACTCACATTTATGACAGTTTTTGCAGTGTCCCGGGGTCACATGACCCCGTCTGATGACCTTCCGATAAGGGGAAACCAGATTCACTTAACAACCAAGTGACTAATTTAACAACTGCAGCGATTTGTGGAACAAAAGTGGCGAGAAAAGTCACGAAGTGGGGCAAGGAAGACTCACTTGTCCAATTTCTCACTTAGCAACATACACGGCAGGCTCCATTGTGGTGGTAAGTTGAGGACCTCCTGTACTACAAAACCCCTCTGTACAGGGGATAAAAGAGCCCAGACGGTGGATGAAAAGTGGAGCCACCGGTCACAGCTGAATTACACTGACCAACAAGGTCACTTGGGAGACAGACAAGCCCTGAAAATAAATATGCTTGCACAAAAGAGATGTGTGTGCTGACCGCTGAAGCTTTTGTCGTCTGCACAAAAAGTTCCTGGCAGACCAGAAAGATTTAATGTCACGTCAAAGGGCGATTACGATTTCCGATGCTTCCCAGTGTGGCTCCCTTAATCAGGAGGCTGCCATGAGCCTCGCACTGGCAGATTTAACAGTTTGGTTTGGCAGCTGCCCTGCTGCTCTTTTACTGGGCTGCCAAGCAGAGATACTGGATATGGGGATTATTTACGGGTTGCAATATGGGAACTCTTGGGAAAAAAGAGATCTGGAGTCCTATTGCTGGGTGCTTGAGGAGAAAAGACTGTTTGGAAAGGGAAGTGCATGCCTTTCTCTTACACAGCTGGCCAGTTTCACACCCAAGGCTAAACTCTAAACCTCATTTAAAGGGAAAATTAAAAGTGGAGGAAACCACTTACAGGCATAGGGATCTTGGACAGTTCTTTACCGATGCAATTCTTCATTATGCTCCAGAGGTTAAGGCTGTAGTTGGGCTTGTCTGGAATTTCAGTGCGCCTCTTCTTGTGGGTGACACCATGCTTGCTTGAAGCACTGAGGCCAGTATGAGTGGAGGCCTCAAACACCTGGAAGGGATCAAATCCAAGTTAAGGACAATTCAGTGTGGAATTTCCAGTTCCCCACCCACCCTTGTAAGCAGAGCCCGTGATATGCTAAGCCAGCTTTACCAAAGGTGTTTCCCCCCCCCAAAAAAAGGCAACTGGAATTTCTTTGTTTTTGCTTAAAGACTTTCTGCAGATCAGAAGGGAAGAAGCTCCTTAGATGAGAAGGGAAACGTCTTCAAGAGAAAACAAAGAAAGTCCAGTTTCCTTTTGAAACAAAGCATCTTTGGGACAACAATAACCTGGAGGGCTGAGAATCTTCAAATAGGTTAAGTCGGTTTATTTAATGGTGGACTTGAGTTAATCCATAACTGAAGGAGATCCCAATTTATGCCAGACTGTAAACCAAGATTGAGAAATGGTAAAGAGTGGACCTCACTCAACAAGCTAGCCCTAAGCCAAACCACAACAATTCACATCACGGCTTCACATACACGAATCTAACCACACACAGAAGGTTAAACGACAGAATCAAACAGTGAACTAAGGAAGGGGAGCACGGCAACCATACTCAGAAGCAAGCAGAGCAAGGCAAACTTCGCAGAGGATGCAATGGGGTTCCCATAGACTTGAGACACATTAACTGCACGTTATCTTCCCCAGCCCCAAACACACACAATCACACAATCCAGAACGAGAACTAGGAGGCCGCTTCTCCCAGCAGCCCAGCCTGGAGGTGGTCAAGCTGCAGCCAAAACTATCATGCAGAGACAGAAACCAAACTCCTGACTGCTCCTCCCAGGGGTGGCTGATACTCACACTGCCGCCCAAGGTCCAATCGTCTGAACGACCCTCGCTGCCCACGCTAATGTTGCTGCTGGTGCGTCTGTGGGGGACACAAAAGTGACAATGGCAATGCCAAAAGCGATGGGGCATGGTCTCCTGATGCGCTGGCCAGCCTGGCCAGGCTGCCCCAGCAGGGCCCGTCAAGTGGGGCCACGGAGAAGATCACAAACAGGGGTGGGGTTCCAATATGCAAATGCACCACCTGGCATTCTGACCCCGCCCAGTTTCTCCAAGCTCTGGGTCTAGGAAACCAATGGGCAGGTGGGCAACCTTCCCTGCAGTGTGGGGGTGTGGGGAGGTGTCAACCAGGTGAGGTTGGGGAGAGGAGGGAACCAGGGGACCATAAGCAGGGTTAGAAAAAAAATGTGACTTTGGAAGAATCAGGGGTTCAGGAGATGGGTAGTGATATAAGGTGGGCAGTAGTTCCTTTAAAAAAACAAAACAAAAAATAGTTCCATTATTTTATTTATACATTTTAGGCTAAACTCTCCCGTCCCTCTCTTATCTCCAGAATGCAGGATGAGATGCTGGGCTGGGGAATTCTGGGAGTTGAAGGCCTCCCATCTTTGAAGCCGCCACGGTTGAGAATCCCTCGCTCAGACCACAGACAACGGCTCCCACCTACCGGTGATGTTTTGGTGACTCCGCGGCTACTGTGATGAAAGCATGAGCGTCTTCCATAGCATCAAAGTACTCCGTCTCCTCATCTTCATCACTGGCGTCTCCTTTTCCACTCTGCACGCTTCCTGCTGGGAGAGACGGAGAACCCAGACCTCAGCCCTTGCCACATCTGGGCACCTGAGGTGCCAAACGGAAGGGAGAAAGCTGGGTGGCTATTGGTTTCCCATTGGATCTCAGACACCATAAGTGTATGTTTACCATTTGGGCTTTCTGGGCCACAAAACAAGAGCTGAACAGCATCATCGCCAAATGCTGGTTATTAAGCAAATCGCTGCAGGGGGCTGGACTAGAAGACCTCCAAGGTCCCTTCCAGCTATTCTATTCTATTCTATTCTATTCTATTCTATTCTATTCTATTCTATTCTATTCTATTCTATTCCATTCCATCCCATCCCATCCCATCCCATCCCATCCCATCCCATCCCATCCCATTCCATTCCATTCCATTCCATTCCATTCCATACACCATACCTTATTTTCTATTCTGTTCTATTCTGGGCCACTCACCTCGGGAGGCGTGAGCAGTGGGGTTCGCGGAGAGGCTGGGCGCTCCCCGACAAGCCCGTTCTAGGTGGTTGTGCTGCTTGGCCAACTGCTCAATGGTCTCCTCCAGGCGGATGCGCTGCTCACATTCGTGTTGAAGGGCCCGCTGCCACTTTCTGCTGTGGGCCTCTGCAAGATCCAGGAAGTCCCGGCAGGCCTGAGGAAGGGAGGCAGGAAGGCGGGAAGGGGTCAGAAAAGGGCGGACATCTCCCTGGGAGGACGAGCTGCATGCAGACAGAAGAGAAGCCGGCACTGAAAAGGGGCCCAGGATGGTTGGTAAAGCAGACTCTCCAGGTGGAACCTTCCGGATACTTAGCAACAGCAAGGGCACTTAAGACTTACATACTTCATCTGGATATTTTTTTCAAACGGCAACTGGACTCCCTTTCTTTTTCATTGAAGATGTTTCGCTTCTCATCCAAGGAGCTTCTTCAATTCTAACTGAATGGTGGGGAGTTCAGGATTCCTCAATCAGAACTGAAGAAGCCTCTTGGATGAAAAAAAGCCCCGAAAACCTCTCCAAGCAAAAACAAAGGAAGTCCAGTTGCCGTTTGAAAAAAAAAAAATCCAGAAGCTTTCAAATGAGGCAGAAGCTGGAACAGAGTTCCAAGATGCTGGCGGGGAAGGAACAGCCAAAAAAACCCATCTCAGGACACCAGAGTCCATCAGCCACCGCAGGATCCTTTGCTGCTGCTCAGTTTAGCCAGTAAGTCCCATCACCGACTGGACTGGACGGTGGTGACGCTGTCTCTCCGATAAATCACCCAAAGCCATTTCTTAGACTCCTCTGTGCCCCTCTATGCCCCCTCCCATTTACCCTTTTCACCAGTTCTTCCCTATTAGGAAACACCTCCCGCACTGCCCTTGTGCCAGATTGCCACTTCCATATTGCCACCTCCTCTCTATTTCCTCCTCGCTTACTCAGTCCAGCAGCGCTTTATGCTTTCCCTTAATTTAGATTTTAAATCCAACAGGGGCGCCTTGGGACTCGCATAATCAATATATTATTTCTGTGTTTATATGCTATTCCGGGGAGAGGGGAATCCCCCTCGAATCGGTGTTCTAACAGAGGTTTGCATTTATTTTTCAACGCTTCGTAAAAGCAGGTGTTACATAAAGAAGGAACTCAAAACAGACAACTTGAAATCAAGGGAAAGAGAAAGCACCAGCCCTGCCTGGCTGCTCCTGTCCCGCCCTTCTCTATTTCCACCCCCTCCTTGCCTTGGAAGGGTCCTCCACCTGCAACAGGGAGGGAATGCTTCCCGTGGCACAAACGCACACACACACCCCTCCCGAAAATATAACCAGCCGCCGGGGCTTCGCTCACATTTATCATAGCATTGGAGGTGATCCTGAAGAGGGTGGCTCGCTCGTTGACCGCCTTGATCTTTTCCCCGCTCTCGGCCGGCAACTTGAGGTTCTCCAGCTCACTCAGGGACCTCTGGAGAGCCGCCCCGTGCTTGGCGATCAGGTCGTTGAAAGCGCTGAGGTCGTCCAGTTTACCAGAGAGGTGCTTCAGGGTGCCATGCACTTCGCTCTTGTCAGACTGCGAGGTGGATTCCTCGTCGCCCGAGTCATCTGTGAAAGGGAGGAGAAAGGAGGAGAAGGAGGAGGAGGAGAAAGAGAGAAAGACCATAGTTTCCATGGTTACCAGCTGGACAGCACTAAAAACACCGTGGTGATTTGTGCACTGATTAAGTGGGAACAACACCTGGAATTGCACCTGAATCCCCCAACTTGCAGCCCTACAGAGGCAGCAAACGACAATGCCCGAGGTCTCAATCCCTGTGTAGAGGACAAGCTGGCTGAGCCCAGGAACCCATGTCTGACCGGATGATGGACCGGCATCCGGACTCAGCCCAAGCCATTTTCAAGAGCGGAAGCAGCGAATGGGAGAGCTTTCCAAGTTCCTTGCTGAGAAGTTGCCACTGATTGCCTTGTCCCACAGTTCCCTCCAGCATCCACACAACCTTTTCCTCAGACAGGTGGATTTCAATCCCAGCACCCTTGGAGGAATGGGGAATTCTGGGAGCTGATGTCCACCCGCCCGGAGGGCAGTTTGGAGAAAGTTGTCCTTTCCACACTCCATAACGGGCTAATTTCTTTTTTCAATTGTTATATACAACCAGCTATTGATTCCTCCCCAAGGGTGAAGGAAGAAGCTAAAATTGAACATGCTCATGGATTTATGACCTACGTCCTGCTGATGCCCAAGATAAGGATAAGTGGACAGGATTAAAAAAAAACCCTCTTAAATATTAATGGAAGCTCAAGTAGCAGCACAAAACAACTGGAGGCTGGTGCAGCTTTAACCTTCATTAACGGAGGCAGGTTGAGCAAGGGAGTTTATTAACACAGACAGCCTCTGCATACAGGACCCATCTGGAAACCTCGTAAGCTATCAGAGAAATTTTATGTGTGTTTTTTTAAAATTTGTGAAGTACACAGAATCTGCCTATTATTCTAATAAATGGAGGGGGGGTGTTCTAACATGATGGCCTGCTTGCAAAAAGGAAAGGAGAAAAAAAGGAAAGAATCCATGCAAAATACCCACATTGTTTATTTATGCAACAAGCAGCTCAAAACATGCCTTTTTAATCATTAGGGGAAGGACGTGGACCAGGGTCTGTTTATGACGGTTCCAGCAATGTCAACAACCTGCCAGCAAATGGAAGCAAAATCCATATCCAGTCGCAGGATACCAAACACTGTTTCTGATTACTTCTGATGAATCCAATCTTCTTCTCTCTCTGACTGTGGGAAAGGGAGGGATTGCCAGAAATTCCAGCAGATAAGAAAGGGAGGCAGATCCATCACCTCTGACTCCTTTCCATTTTGCATCTGCTGTCCCTTCAAAGGCACCAATCAAATAAAATCATTTAGAAGCAGCTATTTCAGAGACAAATCAATCATGACTGTGGATAAAATAAGACACCGCCTTCCACAGCTGCCAGTCAATCAACACAATGGACAATGGACACACGAACACGTATACACACTTCTAAAGCCTTGCAAACTGAATCAAGCTACACAACAATTCAACTTAGGCTGGGGACTGTTTACCTGGGAAGCCACCTCAGACGATGAAAGTTTAAGTGAGAACTATCCACCATTGTTGACCAAACATGTAGCGATCAAATATAAAGGGGCGAATAACTCACCGAGGCAGCAGCTGTCCAAGGTCAAATACAAGTTCAAAACTGTCAAGATGGAACCCCCATTCTTATTTATGATGGGTTAGCTTGGATCAGTCAACTGAAGAGATTCGACAGCCATCTGTCGGACATGGATGTCCTGCCTGAGCAAGGGTTGGACTAGAAGACCTCCAAGGTCCCTTCCACTTTCGTTATTCTGTTATGGTGTTTCTCAAACTTGGCCTTTTAAAGATGCGTGGACTTCCAACTCTCAGAGTTGAAATCACTTCATCACTAGAGGTTTTGAAGAAGAGACTGGACAGCCACTTGTCTGAAATGGCACAGGGTCAGTTAAACATTGGTTTAAACGAAAGTCTGTTTGTGCTCAGGAGGATGCATCATGCATCTCAGCCAGACCCCGTACGCTGCTTAAATCAATGCAGACTGCAATATCATTTCCTGCCTTCTTGTATTATAGAACGTTTCAAAGTCAATTTCATAAACAACTGTGTTTTTACTTTGGATTTATAGCACACCACAAACCAGCCACTCTCCTAGGAACTGCTGTGTCTTTAGATATGAAGGCAGCTATTTTTAGACCCAAGCTGTTATTTATTCTCTTGTATAGAAAAGATCAGAAGCTACCAGCCATATGTTCCTCTAAGATCTACCTCCAGCTGGTTGGCTTAGGTCCTAGGAGAACGCACAGGGTCACAACGGGCTGCTGAGGACAGTGGACTTAATACACTGTGGGCTGCGTTTTTAAAAAATACCCCTCTTTCATTTCTGCTCATGGAACCTGGATGCCATTATTTTCCTGCTGAAATGCAAATTCATGCAGCAGCCCAGAGGCTTTTCAACTCGCTCCCAAATGGAACCAGCTCTGAATTTTGAGTTATAAACATACATCTGCCTTTTGGCGTAAAATGATGGAGCAGATTTTAAGCACATTGCCATTTGTTTTCTGGAAATAAAAAAAAAAACCCTATTGTTTTTAAAATAACCTGTTAAAACTTGGATTTTTAACAAGATGGTGTGGAGAGAGAATTTTCCTATGCTTTTGCACATTCAGGCCTATAATTATATACCCACAGGTACAGAAAACCTTTAGGGAAGCCTACATGATATTCTTGGTTACCTTTTTCTGTGCAGAACAAAGTATCACCCAGTTTTAATTGCTGACGGTGCCTGCAGGACTGTCAAGAGAAGGGAGGCTTGCTGACTTTTGAGGCTAATGAGGTGGCAGCGTGGAGAGTTTTATTTCACAAATGCAAAGCACAGATTATTGGTTTGGTTTTTTTTTTTTTTTTTTAAAAAGAGCCTCTTTCCCCCTCTCAAACTTTTCTCAATTTGGCAACCCTCACTTCTCCTCGCCTACAATTTCTGTTGCCCCCAATCTGCACAGCCAGCAGGATAGTCAGATCTGAAGACGCTGCTGGAATGAGAAGCGAAAGGTCTTCAAAGAAAAACAAGGAAGTCAGAGCCGAGATCTAATTAAGGAGTCTTTTTCAGACTATTCGTGGTGGAGGAATCTACCCGAAAGAGCAGGGCAAGCCGAGGTCTGTTGACTCCAACCACAGTCTGCAAAAGCTGAAGAGGGTTGTGGTGGCAGAAAAAGAGGCCGTCGCACAAGAATAATAATAAAGTTGGAAGGGGTCTTGGAGGTCATCTAGTCCAGCCCCCTGCTCAGAATCTTTACCTTCTCCTCTCTCTTCTGTTCATCCGGGGAAGGAATATCCGCAGTTTCTCCCAAGAGAACCTAGAGGGGGGCCTTTATCGTACCAATTTAAGAGCGATGAATAGTAAAGGGAAACTTCCATCCATATTTAATAGCTCTTCCTGCTCATATATTCCCACCGAAGTCTTCCTTTAATGGAAGCTGCAAATAAAAGCTGAGGTAGCAAGATCGTTAATGAAACTGGCTAACAAGATGAAATACAATCTGTTTCATTGTGTAGTCTTTTTTTCTCCCTTTCTCTCCTTCACAGCCAAAGCATCAAAGACATTCTTTTTATACATACATAACACAAAAATAGAAAACTATCTCCCATCTTTGGCATGAAGCACTGCTTAAAATTCAGCTTTTTTTTTTTGCAGCATAAAAAGCTTCAGAAAAATGATGGATACCTCTGCACCAAGAGGCAAAAGACTTTGCTGGAAATTCTTCATTGAAATGGCTCCAGAATCCATCCATCCATCCATCCATCCATCCATCCATCCATCCATCCATCCATCCATCCTCTCTCCCTCCCTCCCTCCCTCCCTCCCTCCCTTCCGTAAAATGGGGCAAAACTCCTGCTGCATCACGGATGGAACTTCATTAATTCAGCCCAATAACCAAATGTATATTTTGTATATTCTAATCTAGACCAATCCCATACCATTTGGTGGGCTCCATTCAAATCCAAACGTACTGAAATTTAATCCACCACTCTCTGATTTCAAAAGTAGAGATTAAAAATGCACAACAGAACCTGAAAACAACAACAACAACAATTAGACCACCTTAGCATTTTAAAATCTCTTTGTGCTCCACCTTCCTGACATGCTCTGCCAAGTCTTCTCTGCAGACTAAGCTCACCAAATGAAACTTGGAAAATAGGAAAGCGGGTGTTCTCCTTGTAATAGATACTGTGCTTAAATTACACCCTCGCCAAAGGCAAATCCATTTCAGCCGCTGTTGCTGTGCTCTATAATTATCATACAGTAATACAGAGCATGTGTCTCTGAATAGGGAAGGTGAAGTTCATTCAGGAAAGGAGGTATTCTGGCTTCAGGAAATCCTGGAGCTTAATTGAAAAAAAAAAAGAAAAGCACCAGTAAGAGAAGCATACTTCCTAAATTTAAATTTGGCACAAAACTGCCACAAAGAAGAGGGAGTCAAGCTATTCTCCAAAGCACCAGAAGGCAGGACAAGAAGCAACGGATGGAAACTAATCAAGGAGAGAAGCAAGCTGGAACTAGGGAGAAATTTTCTGATAGTGAGAACAATTAATCAGAGGAACTTCTTGCCTCTAGAAGTTGTGAATGCTCCATCATTGGAGGTTTTTAAGAAGAGACTGGACAGCCATTTGTCTGAAATGGTATAGGGTTTCCTGCCTGAGCAGGGGGTTGGACTAGATGACTTCCAAGGTCCCTTCCAATTCTTCTATTCTATTCTATTCTATTCTATTCTATTCTATTCTATTCTATTCTATTCTATTCTATTCTATTCTATTCTATTCTACTCTACTCTACTCTACTCTACTCTACTCTACTCTACTCTACTCTACTCTACTCTACTCTACTCTACTCAACCAACCAAGCCAAAGCCAAAATGCCCATGGCTGAATAACCTTCCCTAACCCGATGCCTTGGGAATTCTAGGAGCATCACATTGGAGCAAGATGATTTAATTTGTTCTGCTGCCTCTAAGCAACCGCGGAGAGAGAAGCTTGGCGCGGCCTTCCCAAAATGCCCATTTATCTTCCATAAAACGAGCCCTCGCTGCCATTTAAAGAGAAGGTGAGGAGGAACCAACAGAAGTCCACGATTCTGGCTGGTGGACATTGCTTCCTCCGGCCAGGGTGACTTGGCCTGCTTGCCCTTCCTCAGCGGATTGGATTTCCAAGCGGGAAGACACCCACCTCTCGTGTTCCCCCTTGGCTTTTCTAAGTATGTCGCTCAAGATAAATTTTTAATCATTAGTTAAACACATTTTCCATTCTCAGGTCTTTGCAAGGTTTCACTCTCCCGCAGAAAGGGCAGGGAACAAAGCCAGACTATACCTTTCTTCCTGGGGGCCAACAAAGGCTAGCTTTAATATTAATAAGGCTCAATTCCCAACCCATTTCTCTGTCTTCTGAGGACTTTATGCCGGAAGCTTCAATAGCTATCCCAGTTCATGACTGGGGCTGGGTGGATGAGAGGGACGTTAGAAATGTTCTCTTAAATGATGCCAGAAACAGAAGAGACCAGCTGTGCTTTTTCAGGAGGCAACTGGACTTTCTTGTTTTCCTTTGAAGACCTTTTGCTTCTCATCCCAGAAGCTTCTTCCACTCTGACTGGATGGTGGAGAAGGGAAGGATTTATACTCCTTGCAGACAGCTGGTCATTTGCATTCTTTTGGAGAGTCATTGAGGCCACTTGGAGGCTGATCTGTGTCCTCTAGGTCACCTCCAAGTGGCCTCAACGACTCTCTGAAAGAAGGCAAATTCTTTTAGCGGGCTATGGGACAGTCAGAGAAGGGGTGCTATTTTGAACAGAGGCAAGCACTCCCATCTCAGAAGACGGACAAAGCCCCCCCCCTCTCCCGTTATCTTCTAAGAGTCCCTGTGGGGATCTGCTCTACCTGCAGATACCAGAGACTTTGCCAAACATTCAGGTTTTGCTTGATGCTATGCTTTCCTTTAATTCTCAAAAAAGGAGGGACATCCAAGATCCTGCTGGGAGTTGCACGCTCACCCTGCAAATGTTCTAGCACCCAGACTCATCACATCCAAGATGCCACAACTCAACTGCCCTGCAAAAGTAAACCATCATCCTTCTCTTATTCCCCTTCTAGATTTATTGGTAAGAACTACACTCCTGGCAATTTCTACAGCAATTATCTGGGGAACAATGAAATTAAAAAGGTGAAGAAAGAAATCCCTTACTGAGCATTTCACCCTCAGTCTGTATTGTGGCAACCCAAAAGGGACCCCAATTTCCCCGTTTACTTCAGCTTCCACGTTGGTTCCAATTCCCCATGCAGCTTTAATTGTGAGCTTGCAACTATAAAGTTCAACCCCCATTAACGGAACTACACAAGCGTCAACTAAAAAAAATTAAGCGTTTTCGCCCCTTGCATGCTTCACTGGGGAAGGAAGAGGGGAGAGCAAGCGTTAAAAACTGGGTCAAGCATGTAACACAACAAGGCCGGGGTTTAACAGCTTGACTTTTGACACATACAGTGTGATAAACATGATTCTGAGTCATTTCTTCCATTAACCCCTCAAATCGCTGTAACTTCCCCAATATATTGACTGACATGCAAGATGACATTGTAATTATAGAATACAAGTTACGCACAATATATAACAAAAAGATTGTCAAGCTGCGAAGATTGTTTGCACTAGGACAGCCATGCTGCTTCTAGCTGGCCAACAGTTCCGAGGGGGGAGGGGAATGTATGGTTTCTATCCACTGGGAAGCATGATTGCAGGAGAGATATTATGGCTTCTCATAACAATGGCAGAAGATTAATTGGACAATGTGACTTAACTATCTTTCTGGCACTCTACTGCTGGAGCTGGTTTTCCATTCATTAGTGCCGGTATGCTGTGCTCAATAAAGTTTTGCATTAGAGATCACAATGTCTCAGGTGTGCTTACTTCGTTGGGATCATCAGCCAGAACTTTGACAAAGATTTAAAAACAGCAATTGGGCTCCAACACAACCACCACAGGTGCAAAAAAATGGGGAAACCACAACAATGTGCAACAGCAGGATCGCTTGAGATTGTTTCTATAGTTTCACACAGCAAAGAGGGTTTTTTTAAAAGATAAATATAACAACTTCCAATTTATAAGATGCAACTTTCTATCCGATGGAAATTCAGTTAAGGACTACCTATACTTATTTCCCCAAACACTGTCCACTTCTTACAGCTAGGATGGTGTGAGTACAATGCCTGCTTGAAATTTCAAAAGCCAGAGCAAATGTTGACAAGACCTACAACACGCATCATTTCAATGGCTAAGACAACTCGTCATGTAACTCTGGGATTCAGCAGAACCAATACAGGAAAACTACAGGAATCATGTACATCTTGCAAATCTGGGGCCAGTGATAGCAACCTCAAAACACTTCCCTTTCAGCATTCATAACATCCCTGGCAGTAAGCAAAGCTCTTCTGCTCCTTCTAATGGGAAACCAGGAAATATTCAGAGAGCACCCTTCAAAAGCCGTATTTTGTCATGATCCCGAAACACTTTTTGACATTTTAAGGATTTATTCTCTTTGTGGCTGACCTACTTAAGATTCTCTTCAGCTTTTCAAAATCCAGGCCATGCTGAATTTTACAAGAGACAATAAATATTCAAGATTTGTGATTGTGGGCCAGGCCTTTTGAAGTCTACAAACAGGGACAACAATGCAGTGTAGGCAAAGGGGCTGTGTGCCTTATTTGCATATCATAAAAGCCACATCCCTGTGTTAAGGAAGGATGGACTGTCTACCCCTGATTCTTCCCCTCCCTGGAAAAAATTAGAACCAGGTAATTTCCAGTTTTTGTTTTGTTCTTGTTAAAAGGAAACATGTACATAGTTCCACAGACCTCATTTAGCCAAATGAACACTAAAAGTCCCCTTGGAAAGACTTGAGCACCGAGTTCACTCTGAATGGCCACAGAGATGCACCCACAGAATTGGGCCCCCGTTATATAGGATGGGACACCTTCCTGCCGTTAACATGTTGCTTTGACTTTTACTCCCCATTGGGCTCAGCACCTTTTACTGCTCTCCCCAGCTGAAGGAGCCAGCAGCGATGCCCCTTCTTTCCCAACCAGGCATGCTCCTCCATTCTCATGTGTGTGCATGTTTTTAAAAGCAAACCAACCCGGGGCCTTTCCAGCGTCACCTCCGTTGGGCTGAACTGATCATGCAGCAAAAACTACCACCGAGCACCAGCTGGAAGGGGAAGGGGCCGAGGAGAAACGAAGGCGTCTGTGGGGAGGATCCACAAAGGCCCAACTAACCCTTCTTAATTTTATTCAGGCAGCCAGAGTTGCAGCAGGAGCGGACGGATCCCGTCTCCGAACAGCTCCTATTCTTCATGCCGGCTGCTGGAGGGCTCTGGCAGAAGCTGGAGCTAGGGACATGGCTGGGAGTCTCTTGGAAAATCAAAGCAAGCCAGAGACCAGCAATGTGGAGGAAACATCCTTATTTAGCAGCAAAGAGGGCTGCTGCTGATGATGCTGCTGATGCTTCGGGCACGTTCTTCTTCCCCATTAGAGATTCTGGCCCTATGCTGAGCTCTCCAAAGGCTGAGCCCCATGGATCTCCCGGCAACCCCCACTTCGGTGTGAACACTTAACTCCCTCCGCGCTGGCTAAGCCAGCAGGGTCTCCCCAGACAAGGCAGGAAGACTGGCACGGAAACCGCCAACCCCTGTGGTGACTTTAACGCTGCTGCTCCTTCCGTAGGGAAAGCCACCGGGAGGCCAGGATGAGAGCATTACCTGGAAAGGTGATCTAAACAGGCTCCTGTCTCTTTAAATCCTTCTGGCGGCTATTTGCAGGAAATTCTGCATCAAAGCTTTAACCCTTCCTCGCCTCTGCGCACTGCAACAGTATTTCCCAGATTTTAACAGCTTTCAAAGGGCTTGAAAGCCCAGATAATCTCAAAGAAAAAAAGAAGGTATTAACCGGGCAGAATCTGCACCCTTGGACTTTAAATGCGCCTTTTTCATCTGCTCTTTCCTGTTTTAGGAGGAATGCTAGAGTTTGCACCTCAAAAATGGCCAGTGCCTCAATCGAGTCTTGATTTTACCTTGAGAGAAAGTAAAAAGGAGAGGTATTATAGAGAGTCCTCGGCTTACGACCGCAACTGAGCCCAAGTTTTCTGTTGCTAAGGGAGACATTTGTTAAGTGGGTTTTGCCTGACATGGTTCTTAAGGGAATCACTGCAGTTGATTCAGTTAGTAACACGGCTGTTAAGTGAATCTGGCTTGTCAGAAGGTGGCAAAAGGGGAGTCACGTGACCCCGGGACATTGTACAAACTGTCATAAATGTGAGTCAGTTGCCAAGCGTCCGAGTTTTGATCATGTGACCATGAGGACGTTCCCCTGGTTGTAAGTGTGAAAAACGGTTGTAAGTCCCTTTTTTCCAATGCCGTTGAAACTTCAAAGGGTCGCTAAATGGACTGTTGTAAATGGAGGACTATCTGTACAGAGGTCCCATTTGGGCCCTGCTGGATTTTCAAGATGCACACAACTTGGTTGCGATGGAGAAAATGGAAACAAGGCGGAGGAAAACTACCAAAGGTTCATTGATTTTAAGGTGCGAGAGAAAATATTGTATTTTGGACAAGACTGATTTTTTTAAAAAATAATCTGGTACTTTTCTTCAACCTGATGCTCCCTTTGGGGTAGTAGTGATCACAGTCCCACAAGAGACAAACAGTCATATATAAACAGCCAGCAGCCTTTACTCCCCGTGCACTGGTGATGTTACCTAGCCTGGTAATGAAACGTCTGCAAGAAGGAAAATGAACTTCAAGAGCTTCACAAGATCCCAGCTGGTTCACCTCTGAGTTTTAACTTTCCAGCTCTTTGGTTTTAGAGAACAGTGGGACAAAAGTGAAAGAGGAACAGGAACACAACTCTGCAAACCTCAGAGTGAGTTTCTTAGCCTCTTTTAACAGAAAGCTTCGTTTTCTTTCAGGAACACAACTCAGTCTGCAGGGAGGAACGTAGCAAGGAGAGGGAAAACCTAATTAAAGAATATTGCATTCCTCTCCATACAGTCATCTGGGGCTCATTCAGGAACTAATTATAAAATCATCAATATGTATGTTTATTATTAATAAATACTAATAAAAACACAGGCATATGGAGCCTAGGGTAACTTCACAGCTTTGCTTAATATTAACAGAAGCAAGATAGCCGTAGCACCCCATCGTTCGCTCACAGCAAGTGATATAAACAAAAAGAATATCTCCTCCCAATATTATGTTCAATTATTGCCTTTATCGTTTTACATTTTTACTTACATTCATTAGGCCTCAATTCCCACCAGTTTCCCGCAGCCTAATATTAACATTTGCTAAGGAAAAAGGCAGCCAAGCACCAGAATCAAAGGGAAGATACAGAAGGATGAAAGACACCCATGTATTTGACTGGTCCAGATACACCTCAACACTCCTAAATATACGACAGACGCTTCCAAAGCCATCAGTATTTCATAGCGGTGTAAACTGGGGAAAAAAAACTTTCAAAAACTATTGAAGATACTGCTTCAAATCCCCCAAACAATGTCTCAAAGAACCTCACTGTAGTTTAAGAAGAAAAAAGAAATTTAGAAGATCACAAGTGTCTTTCGTTTTTACAAATAATATCAAGTTCCATTTGTATGTGGGTCTGTGCAATCCTTTTGCTAGTTTGTTGTATCCATTAATCTCTTGAAAACAGCAGCAGAAGAGAACCAGTCCTTCCCTTGATATTTCTCAAGGGGCAACCAGCAAATGGCCTCCGGTATGCCAGGAAATGGAAAATGGAAAATGAAACCCGTGAAATTACATTTACAGAGACGGGTTTCTTCCCGGTAAAACTCACTTCGCAAGCCTAATTTATTTTAACTTTCAGAAACTGCTGGAGTTAACACTGGTGGGGGAAAAAAATATCCCCCCCCCCATAAGACCAAAAATCACATTCTTTGGGAAAGACCAACAGCCATAAAATCTACAGCGCCACTGCCCGCTTCTCCAAATACCCAACTCCAAGCTCCATCCACAAACATTCTGAAATAAATTAAAAATAGCATAAGCACCCTCCCTTGCATTACCCTAACCTAACACAGCATTTCTTCCTTTTTTTCCCAGTCGCTGGGCGGAAGGAGGGTTTGTGTGTCTGTTTTTCGATTCTGCCCATCGCCTGGGTCGTACTTGTTGGCTTCCCAAAGGCATGCTTTTGTCCCACGTACAAGCGCATGAGCACACACACACACACACACACACACACACACACACACACACCCCTACCGTTCAGGCTCCAGCAAAAGGAAAGGCCAGCAAGATGAAAATTGCCTCCTTCCTTTTCAGGATGTCCAGAAACATTTTGACAATTACAGCCGGGGAGAGAACGAGAGCAATATCGCTGTCGCTAACTAATTCCAGATTGACCCTGCTTTGCACTCCTTCCTTCTCCAGGAAAGCCTGACCTCTGGGCACTGATCCTGAGCTTTAGGATTTCAAGGGTGGCTTTTAAAGCAACCTCATCTTAAAAGGAAAGGGCATCCAGGGACAAGAGCTACACAAACCGTGAAGGATTCCTTCTTTGCAGCCCAGGGTGGGGCCTTCTCCCTCCCCACCTGCTTTTTGTCCCTTTCGGAAAGCTTTTGTAGCCTCTGACCCAACAGCCCAGACCCCCCCTCCCAGGTTAGCGGCTCCTTCTGACCTTGCCAGGTGATGGAGACCTCGCCGTGATGGGGCCGTAAGCAGAGGTGGCCCATAAGGTTAAGGCACATCTCCCTTATGGAGACCTGGCAATATGGGGGGTGGCGGAGGGGGGCGAGGGGGCGGCTCTAGTGCAGCCCGGCTTCCCCGATAGGCGGGGAGTAAACGCTTACTCAGAGGCACAGCCCAGGCTGAGCAGGGAGGCAGCAGGGGAGGGAGTTGATATCCCCCGGGTGGGAAGGGGGAGAGAGATGAGGGTCTATCAAGGAATATGCATTTTATGCACCCCCTTTGCATTGTCGGATCTCAGAGGGCCAAACTTTGCACGGCCCCACCCTGATCGGAGAAGCTACAGCTGCTTCCATGTTTAAAATAACGTCTTTGAATGAATCTCAAAGCAGCTAGGACTCATTAAAAAGCATTGGCGCCCCCCCCCCATACAGACACACACCTCTCCACTTTATTCCAGCTGTGTTATTTGCATGGTGTGGCAAAACAGCACACAGGAGAGGGAGCTTAAGCATGGAATGTAAAAATCCGAGGGGGGGGGAGGGAGAAGGAAAGAGGGAGCTGCATTTTCTGCTGAATCTCATCCGTTGTTCCCAGGCAGGTCAAAGCTGAGCTGACCCACCCCCACCCCCTCCGTGCCCAACAGATGGGTGCCCTGCCTGTGCTCGGCTTAGGAAGCAGAACGAGGAGGGGCAAAGAAGGGGCGGGGAAGGAACCAACAGTGGGAAAATCCCACTCTCTTTTGTTCTGTCTTCTGGGAGACCCTTTGCCAAGCACCACCAGCATCCTCCCCCCACTCACCGCATCATTCCTGCCTCAGTAGCCAGTGACAAAAGGGCAACTCTTCACACACACTCTCCCAAACACAATCTGGAGTTACAGGTCTCCTCCTCCTCTGCCTTCCTCTTCTTCCTCCTCCTCCTCCTCCCTCCTCCTCCCTTCCTCCTCCTCCTCTGCCCTCCTCTCCTCTCTTCCTCCCTTCCTCTGCCCTCTTCCTCCTCCTCTTCTTCCTCTCTTTCTCCTCTTCTTCTTCCTCCCTTCCTCCTCCTCCTCCTCCTCCTCCTCCTCCTCCTCCTCCTCCTCCTCCTCCTCCTCTTACTAGAATGTCTCCAGCGGGCTGACAGGTCCAGGTGGAAAAGCGGCTCCGGGGTTAGAGGGCTGCAAGGCACCCAGGTTCATCTCCACTGGCTCGGAGAGCAGCAGCAGCAGCTCGGGCGAAGCAGCCCTGAGCAGCCAGCCGATCAGCACCCTGGACAGCGGCCAGGTGCAGCACCCGGGCGATTTCCCATCGGGGCTTGGCTGCCACTCCCCCCCCCACCTGCTCTCCGTGGAAGCGCCGCTGCCCCTCCTAGGAAGACCCACGCGCGCGCGCATCCCTGGAGCACCCCACTTGGCTGATGACTCGGCAGCCGGGTCCTTAAAGCTGCCCAGCTCCTCTGGCCCACCCAGCAAAGGATCTGGCCGGACCATCTCTTCAGTGGGATCTTTTATTATTATTATTATTGTTATTGTTATTATTGTTATTAAACAAAAGGCTTAATTGTCCCCACAATTGCTAATATCCAGATAGATGTTACAAAGTGTAGTTAACCCTTAAGCTGGCTTGTCTATCTGCATTTTCTCTGGTTTACAAATATCTCAATAAGATCTCCTCTTAAAGGCACCTTTATTAGGCCACGAAAGGGTGTTTTTTTTTTCCCCCAGGGAAAAAATACTATTTTTTTTAAATAAAAAAAATGATTTTGCAACCATTAAATCATAAAAAGGCAGCCTCAACTGTTGGGCTGCAGCAGATAATTTTATTAAATGGGATCCAATATTCTGTCCCTCCCCCCCAAAAAAACAGGAAAAAAACCCTCACCTGAACCACCTAGTTAGCATAATAGTTCCATCTGTATTATTACTAATTAATCAAATCAACCGTTTTAATGAAAGCCTGCAAAGAAAGCAGACAAGCATAGAATCCAATCAACAGACCAGCACAGGAAACTGGGTGTGGTTGCATTTTCTGTCAAGACTGCATCGCAGTTTCCTGAAGTCATCGTCATAGCTAGGTTACAGATATATATGCTTTTTTTTTTTAAAAAAAGATCTCATTACGTTGTCCATTATCAGCATACGTATAAAACTAAAATAAACACCCAAGCAGACGCGGAATTGAAAAACCTTCATTTTCTCACCTGCCTCCTGCCTTTTCAAAGAATTATTTGCAGAGATTGTGCTCAGCAGGATCCCTGGGGTTGAAATCTAATCGCAGTCTGTCATTCAGCTCTTTGATCCGCAAGCAACATGCTTGAGTTAGCAAACGGGAGCAGAATCTGACCTCTATCGACAGCAATTTATTAATTATTACCAAAATATCTATTGTCCTTAATAGCCACATAATATGAGGGAAACATAGCTGGCTATATATATA